CGCTTATGAAGCCATGTTGGGAATCATTGATCAACTTGTGCTTCTCCAGGTGATTTCGAATAGAGTTTGAAATGATTGCTTCCACTAATTTGCCTACAATTGACGTTAGACTGATTGGGCGGTAGTTAGAGAATAGTAATCTATCTCCTTTCTTGAAAATCGGTATTACATTCGCTATCCTCCAGGATTCTGGTACTTCACCCGTTTTTAAGGACATGTTAAACAACTTTGCTAAGGGCATGCTCAGCTCTTCCTTACATTCCTTTAATACTTTGGCAAATATCTCATCAGGACCAGGTGACTTATTAGGCTTTAGTTTGTCTATTTGCTTACTAACATCGTTACTAGTCACTACTATCTCGTTTAATTCATTTTCTTCACTATTTCTGTATAGAGTCGGTGCCTCAAGTATTATGTTTAAATTTTCGGTGGTGAAAACTGTTGACAAATATTTATTCAAATTTAATTATCGTCGTTATCAGTTAGCTCGCTGGTATCTGACTGTATTGGTCCAATCTATTCTCGTGTTTTAGTTGGATACATTTGATAGACTCCCTTCTGGTTTGACTTCTCCTCCCTTGCTACCTTCAGTTCATTATTCCTCTTTGCTTTTGTTATCTCGGTCTTAACCCTACTGGCCAATACCTTATAATAATCTCAGAGGTAAACTTCACCACGATTTATTCTCCGACCTTTTGCCTTACTTTGTCCTATAATATTCTTTAAATAATTGTTTATTCATTTAGGGTCATTGTTGTTTGATCTGAGTTTTCTGTATGGTATTTTCTGCCTTTGTGCATTAAGTAAGTCATTATTTAAATTGTTGTGGAACTCGTCATCCTCAGATCTCTTTATCAGGTCATCCTCAACCGTCAGGTCTCCAGTAAGGTGAGGTCGCCCCCTGTGGGTACATTATGTTAGGTCACTTAATGTCAGGTCATGTAATTCACCCCTAAGCGTGATACCCCTTCTCTCAGCTGCCTCTTCAAACTATCAAAGTTTGCCCTTCTGAAATCTGGGAGTTTAGTGGAATTTTTCTTGCGGCTGCCCTGAAATTCTAACTGGAATCTAATTTGTTTGTGATCGCTGTTAGCAAGTTCGTTCCCTACCTCGACATTACTAATGAGGTTTTCTCTGTTTGACAGAACTAAATCGAGTACAGTATATTATTACCCCGGGTGCAAATAGGTTGTGTATTAACGAGTTGCTTATACAGACTCTTTTGAATAATTAAATTATTACAGTAACGAATGAAAAACCAGTTTTACGATTTAATTCAAGAGGAAATTGTTTTAGAATTTTTAGATTTAGGATTTTATATGAAGGAAGGAGGGGGGCGTGGAGATGAGGAGCAACTGCTATAGGGGGCGCGACCCTACTTTTACTTTTTACTTTTATCCTCTTCGCCACTGATTGGCTTGTTAGCCGCTTGGGCGATCGGTCACGTCTCTGATTACTTTTCCTTTTCATATATCTTCTTCACCAAAAGATCGGTTCGCTAGCCGCCCGGGCGATCGGTCACGTCTCTGTTGATCACTGTTGGTAAGTACTGGGCATGCACCGGCTCCTGAATGTACCTGAACACGCTCCAGTGTTGGCCAAGTCTTGTCTTGAAAGAGCTCACACTCGGTGCCGTCACAACACTCTCTGGTAGATTGTTCCAAGAGTTTACAACCCTCACTCCGAAAAAGTTTGCCCTCACGGTTTTCTGGACTTGGGGCTTCTTCAATCTTGAGCTGTGACCCCTTGTGGCCTAGATAAAGCCTGATGATCCCTTTAAAATATAGATTTTATGGATGTGTAAAAATTTGCTCTTTTATAATGATTAAGTCGAGGGAGTTAATCAGTGCTACTGTCTGTACTTTTAAACTTTTACTTGCTCTAATCCTCAGAAATTAGCGTGAATATTGATTAAACTGTACTGCGATTTATCTTTGTCCAATGTTAACAAATCATAATCAAGTGCACGTTTTGTAGAATATATACGTATATAAATATATACATAAAATGAAAATATTATGAAAAAATTCGAGAATATTACAGACTTTAACACTATTTTGCGCTGAAGTGTTTCATAAAGTTTACATGAATGTGACCAGAGTTGCCAACTTAGCGACTTTGTAGCTAGATCTAGAGCTTTTTGTTTTTTTCTAGCGACATTTTAGAGCGAGATATCCACAGAAATCTAGCGACTTTCTGGATACTTTTGGACTGTCCATGAAAACTCAGTTTTCCTAATTTCGAGCCATAATATATAGCAACGGGGTTACAGGGACAATACATTTGAACGGGTTGAACTCATAAAACAACTTCGTCAACGCTTACCTGACAACATTCGTGTGCTGCAGTCTATTTCTTTTCTGAGTGCCGATGAATGCTTGAAGCCTATTAAATCAGATATACTTGGTTTGGCACACTTATTTACAGAAGATTCCAGCACCCTTACCAAGATTGATTTCCAGTGGAAAAAACTGCATCACACAATCTGGACAGAAACATCTAACACCCTAAAATTGTGGTCAGAAGTGGCAAATTACAGAGATGCGACAGGTGAAAACCCTTACCATTGTAGGGTTTCGTGATATAATGTTGTCTAGCACTCAGGATGGATGGAAACTCTAAGGTGGTGGTTTTCTTATATAATATAAGTTATATGGTAGACAGTCTGGTGCTGGAGGTGCCGTGTGGTGAGGAGCTGCTCAGTAGACACGTTCGGTGAGTAGCGTGTTGAAGGAGGTAGATGTGCAGGAGCTTCGTTAGAGAAGATGTTGCCTGTTGCTGGCCTCCAGGTTGAATGAGAACGGGACAGCGAGGAGCTTGCTTGGAGGAGGTGTTGCGTGTTCAGGAACCGAGAGCAGAATGAGAGAGCTGGTTGGTGAGGACGCTCAGAGAAGGACAGCTGGTGGGTCGCCATGCTCGCCGGCGGGAGCGAGGACCGCCAGGCAGGCGGAGGAGAAGCGAGGGCCGCCAGGCAGCGGCGGAGGAGGAGGTGTTGCGTGTTCAAGAAGAGAGGCCAGAATGAATCTCAATGGAGAGACAGAGCTTATATACACAGCCGCCGGAAGTAGACCGTGGGAAGTCGCCGGTCTTTTGACTCCGTTGCTAGGGAACGGTAGCAGCTGGTGGCTGGTTGCTAGGATACTGTGGCATCTGGTGACGCCCCCCCCCCTGGGCCGCTCGTTTGGTTGCTAGGGAAGACGTAGCAGGTGGAATGCGGCTACGCAGTTGTAGGGGAGACGTCCACTACAATACTCCCCCTTCCCTCCAGGCGGTGTAGGAGACTTGTTGTCTGTAGAGTTGCTTAGCACATGTGAGGCAGAACGGGCGGTGCATGCCTCATGTGAGACAACGGCGATGGCGTGGATGAGCCGGTCGCTGGATACAACTGTCTATATACACACTATCTGTGGGAGGAGAGAGGGAGAAAAAGGGTGTGTGGAGGCGATGAATGTTGTGCTTCCCTCACGGCAGGTACAGAGTCGTCAGATGCGCCTGCTGGGGTGTGTGGGCCTGGGTCAGGAGCAGGGGCTGCGTCAGCAGAAGCGGATGAGGGCTCGTGACAGCAGCTGGGTCCACGACAGCAGCAGGGTGCAGGACATTAGCAGGGAGTACCTGAGGGAGAAAAGAGGGGTGTGTGGGTCCGCACTCAGGAACAGAGGCCGCGTCAGGGGCGGCAGGGGTTACTGCTGGGCCGGGGTCGGCGTCTGAGGCAGGACGGGTGTGCTGGGGTCGGTAGGATGTGGTGCTTGGGGCAGGAAGAGGAGCTGGTGTCTGCTTAGAGTAGCAGTACTGCTTCTGTGTGGAAAAGCCAGTCTTCGACGTTGTGGTTGAAAGTCGGTAGAGAGATCCGTCCGTTCTCCATCCTGTGTGAGTGCGTTTTTCCGGGGGTCACCATTTGTAGGGTTTCGTTATATTATGTTGTCTAGCACTCAGGATGGATGGAAACTCTAAGGCGGTTGTTTTCTTATATAATATAAGTTATATGGTAGACAGTCTGGTGCTGGAGATGCCGTGTGGTGAGGAGCTGCTCAGTAGACACGTTCGGTGAGTAGCGTGTTGAAGGAGGTAGATGTGCAGGAGCTTCGTTAGAGAAGATGTTGCCTGTTGCTGGCCTCCTGGTTGAATGAGAACGGGACAGCGAGGAGCTTGCTTGGAGGAGGTGTTGCGTGTTCAGGAACCGAGAGCAGAATGAGAGAGCTGGTTGGTGAGGACGCTCAGAGAAGGACAGCTGGTGGGTCGCCATGCTCGCCGGCGGGAGCGAGGACCGCCAGGCAGGCGGAGAAGCAGGGCGCCAGGCAGCGGCGGAGGAGGAGGTGTTGCGTGTTCAAGAAGAGAGGCCAGAATGAATCTCAATGGAGAGACAGAGCTTATATACACAGCCGCCGGAAGTAGACCGTGGGAAGTCGCCGGTCTTTTGACTCCGTTGCTAGGGAACGGTAGCAGCTGGTGGCTGGTTGCTAGGATACTGTGGCATCTGGTGACGCCCCCCCCTGGGCCGCTCGTTTGGTTGCTAGGGAAGACATAGCAGGTGGAATGCGGCTACGCAGTTGTAGGGGAGACGTCCACTACACCATGATCTGGCTGAAATTGCACTCGCTGCCTTATCTCTTCCGCATTCAAACGCAGATGTAGAGCGCACATTTAGTAATATGAACTTTGTGAAATCAAAATTGCGCAACAAAATGAAACTATCGACATTAAAGGCAATTCTTACAATAAAGTATGGGTTAAAAAGACAGAACACCTGTTATGAACTTCCTATAGTGATATTTTAAGAAAGATATAGGGACTGTGGAGGCATACAGTTACAAGAGAACCTGAACCAAGCACTTCACATGCTTCCAGCTCTACAGTTGTTCACACTACGGAGAGGACTGGGATGCATCAAATTACTGAAGGGGAGGAATAATAACTAGCGACTTTCCATGGAAGATTTAGCGACATTTGCTACTTTTAGGTCCCAGCCTAGCGACATTGGCAACACTGGAGGGCATCAGTTGTTGTTGTTAAGGTGAGGCAGAACACAACAACTGGCTGTGTTGCTTAAAACTCTTGTTACTCTCCTCACACAGGTATAACAACTGGCTGTGTTACTTAAAACTCTTGTTACTCTCCTCACACAGGTATGGTTATAACACCTGACTAACATATTCATTACCCTAAAATTCGAGGTAAATATTTTTATCTTTTTTGTGCACCTGAGAAAGTTAATGTATTTGAGGTTTTTATTTGCTTTTATAATCGTCATAGAAATTCACATTTGTACATTTGTATATAGACAGTGGAGGCTGACAGAGACCCCACACCCACCTCAGGAATTGGGTAAACCTTTAAGTGCTGCCAGAGATTTGGGCAGCAAAAATATTGTTTCCTGCATGAATTTTGCTGTTTTTTTTTATTGGAGATTGTAAGTTCTTTCTGTTTAATATACCGGGGAAGTTAGGTAAGGTTAGGTAGGTTTGTTTGGTTAGGTTAGGTTAGGTAAGGTAGGTAGGTTAGGTTGGTAATGTCTGTTTTTCGTACCCACAAATGTTAAATAACGTTATTTTTTAAATATAATTTTGTTAACATATTTCCACAAACTACAACAGTATCCACTATAATAAAACTGTGATAATATGGCATTTTATAATTGTTTTCAATCAATTTTGTTCGCGGGTTAGTTTTATATAATTACCAAAACAAAAAACTAATGTTTTCCAATAGTGGTCAAACATTGTTTTTTCAGCTTCTCCGAATAAATCAACATCCTCCAGTAATTAAAACCCCCAAATTTATTCAGGAAAAAATGTTTTTGCTGCTTTTATGTACACAAAAGAAGCACTAACCTGACCCCTCCCCCTTCGAGTGGATAAGTAATGTAGTCAGTATTTAACTTATCCTTATTTAACCTAACCGGTAAATTTTTACCTTAGGACATGAGTCCCTAGGGGTTGACAAATATGTTTTTCCAGTGTATTTTGGTGTGTTTTAAGCGAATCAGACCTTCATTTATGTCTGAAATTGCTTGTCCCCCCCCCCAACAATAATGGGGGAGAGCCTGGGAAATCAGGGTTTTTGGGTGAGGGAGAACAAGAAAACGAGTCATCTGACCTAACCTAAATGTGTCAGTTGTTTAAAACTTTGGGCGCTCTATGTCTGAAAGTACAATACCTTAGTTAGAAGTGGAAAGAATGATCGTCTTTCTCGTAAACCGTAGCAATAAACTTAAAATAATCGTAGGAGCACAAATGACAACCAACCTCCATCACGGCCATTATCAGACTGGTCATTGAAATTCAAATCCATACCCAGGCTGCTTCCTTTGAAAAATTCAAATGTGATTGGTCGAAAAAAATTCGCGTGATGATATTGATACATCATTGGTCATGACTGGAAGACGTCAGTTAATATCGCTCATGCTTGATGCGTAATTAACTCGGTTTCACGCAGATAACATCTCTTCACGCAGACGGAAAAGTATGTAAAATCAATTAAATTCAATTGTATCGCTATTTTCTATTTCCGACGAGTATATATTGGGTTCAAAATGCTCAGAATAGGGAAATCTAAATGTTTCAGTAGTTTATAACTTTGGGGCACGTTATGTCCTAAAGTAAAATACTGTAATGGCACCTAACCTGACTTAACTCCCTAGCGGCAAGGGGGCTTCCCCCTTCGACCCCGAGTTGCTATATAATGTCAGTGTTTAACTTATCCTTAATTAACCTAACCCCCTCGCGGGAGTGGGAGTATGTCGCGCGCGGTAACTTTGAATGTGCATGCAGTATTCCCCCTTCCCCAAAACAGAACACTGTCACTAGCAATTAACAACAAAAATTATGGTGGAAAAGTGGTGTGTTCTTGCTAGAATCATTGGCAGCATTAATCTACACATTAACCAGGAATTGTAACATATATATGTATTTTGTCCGTAGTTACGTACAACAGGAAATCTTAATATGCATGGGGTATTGCTCTGGAACAGTATCCCACATTAACCAGGAAATTTTTCAGTAATTCTGGTGCAGATGGCTAACACCAGAATGCGTAGTTCAATTTCGCTAATTTTTTCACAGATGTTCTTTGGATGATAGTAAGAATTAAAATCGTTACAACAATGGGTAAAACTTCAGTTTCGGACAATATGGATCTCAAGTTGAGCAGTGTGTTTTTCTGATGGTTTAGACAATTTTAAGACACTTTTCTTCAATGATGTTTATGTTGCAAATGACCTAAAATTACCTGAGTTAATCCCCTAACAGGGGGGCTCCTCCCCCTGTATATTTAAGTAAATTACAAGGTAAACGTCATGGAAGAAAAGTGTCTTAAAATTGTCTAAACCACCAGAAAAACACATTGCTCAACTTGAGATCCATATTGTCTGAAGCTGCAGTTATTTCCAACAATGCATAGAACCTAATATAACTTGACGTAACCAAAGAAACCTATCTTACCTTACCTCACCTCACCTCACCTCACCTCACCTCACCCCCACCCCCACCCCCACCCCACCCCACCCCACCCCACCCCACCCCACCCCCACTCCCACCCCACCCCCACCATATTAAACAGAAATTACTTACTTTGATATCCGGTACCAATGAAAGCAACTTTGTTTAAGCGGCATGGTGTAATTTTACATTTTTATGGCTGTGAGAGTATGCTGGGGCCAATCACGTCCATCATTACACCACCAATACCCATTCATTCATAAATAGTGATACTACTACAGCGACATTGCTGTTTGAATACATGGGTTACCACAGGGGTTGTAGGAACACATTTTTGCAACTGTACAAGCAGCAACGAGTCATTGGTGTTATCGTTCGCGGCGTTGTGCTCCATGATGCCGCCCAGCCGAATATTCTCAGAAAACGCTCCTGATTTTCAACCTTGGAAACTGGTTCACAGACCCAGAATGGTACTTGGTATCAGACAACCAAGACAGATTCAGTATTTAAATGAAGTAAAGTTTGTGTCACTTGTGGAACAAATTTGGGGAAGCCAAATTTTAGTTGTATCAGAGTTTATCACATTTACTGAAACCATTAGTTACTGTTAAATGGTAATACTTGTGGTATCAGAAGATATTAGTCATGTGACATTAAGACGTAATAGAAATAGTTGATGTTCATATTTGTTTTATTTTTGAGGGGACAGCAGGTTTCAGTACTTGATGAAAGTCTACATTCATGGTTGGTTCACTCATTTTGAAAAGTGCCACTTCTAATGTTAGATCCTTATTTGGCTTCAGAAATAAGTGTGACACTAATGGAAAGCAGAATTTTACAGTTTTGTACTATGAGATTGTGTAGTGCACAGTATGTTTTCTTAAGACTTTTTTTTTTATAGCAATCTCATAGAAAATAATGGCTTGTAAGTGTAGGAACGATGTTTTGTTGTGTTATCATAGTCACAGACCACCACAGTTGACTAAGTTGTGAGTGTGTTGCATTTACTTCAGTGTGGAGTACAGCAAGTTGTGATGTACATGAACAACCCAACCTTATGGATTCAAACCAAAGGCATAATCTTAAAGTGTAAGGTTTCTTGTGGTGCCCTTGGCGGAATCTACTTCATGTTTGCTATTGTTTGTATAGGGAGTCCCCGGGTTACGAATGAGTTCCGTTCCTGAGGTCGTTCGTAAGTCTGAGCATATGCTATATGCATACCGTAATTATAAAACAATGTTTAAAATCCCACTATATCATAGCCTAAGTCCTTACATACATCTAAAATCACTTAATTTAAGACAAAAGAAGAAATGGAATGACAAAATACAGTAAATGAAAGTAAAAAATAAGTCCTCAGGTAAATAAAATATACTGTAAATTTCAAGTTTAACCTCGTTCGTATTGGCGGGCGTTCATAAGTTGGACGCTCGTAAGTCAGGGACCTGTATACCCGCACTGTCTGTCTACTTTATGAAATAATGTGACTGTATATGACGATTTTTTGGAGTGAATATATCTACAGTATGTATCAGTATCATTTCTATATGTTAGGCAAGTCAGCTTAGTCTGGGTGGTTTGTGTCCTCATGAAACATTCTATTTTCTGTAACACATCTGTTGCAGTATTTTTTATATGTTGAACCTCCTGACAGCAGAAGTTGATACAGTAGTGGCAAAATCTCATGGAGTGAAAGTGTTTTATCATTTTAAAATCACTGTTCAGAAGGTATCTTGGCATCATCTTGCCCCTAATTCTACCCATTTGATTTAGTGGAGTGTATGTGTTGACCTAAGTTTGACTCACATTTATGATTACAGTATCCCACTACTGTACAATAGGGATTATACAGTATGGTATTTTTCAGCAAGAGTTGGCTCAGATTTGGATATTTTATACATCTGCAGTAGCTACCTTACTTTTTAACCCAATCTTATCCCTCTACCTCATAGCCCTGCCTGCTGATTAGTTTGAATTAACATTATAGGATAAAGGAGGATATTTGCTTATTCTAAGATGTGCACAGATTGTTTTGGCACAACAGTACAGTACATGATCTCTGGTCTGAAAATCCAAGAACCTCCAAAGGTGAAATATCTAGCACTAGAATTCCTTTCCAAATGGTGTATGAGTTTCTAAAGATGGCTGCTCTGTTTTTTATGTACTGTCATTACCTTTTTGTCACTTTTTAGCATTTTAAAGTTGAGGCGATCGGCTCTGCTTTTCTCATTATGTATACGGTACAGGTATCTGATTTATACCTTCTTTAGCCCTCATTATGGTGTCCAAGTGATAGAGGAATCATGTAATTCTTACCATAATGGAAAAAGTTTTAATTTTACAGAAACATTAGTGCAAGTTGTGTGTAACCTGACGGAGTCTATTGGTGTTATAATTTGACCATGCACTGTACAGTATTGTACTGTATAAGAAGCAGTTTGAAAAGTTGTCAAATTTTATGCTGAGAGAGAATCAAATGAGGTCACTGTGAAGCATGGAACTATCACAGGGCAGGTGTACCTATTGTATTTCTTTGCTATTTTTTATGATAAGATTAGTACCATATTTGTAATACCCTGTATCAAATTATTTGTACTGTACAGTACTGTAGTTTGAACACTGCCTGGGTCCAAGGAACTTGGACTGGAGATTACAGTATTTACACTACACTGTATTGTACAGCAGGCATGGGCAACCTTTCTTCAATCATGGGCCGCATTACGATTTAGGTACTGTACTGTATTTTTTGTGGGCCAACCCACCAAAATTTATATCCTACCTAACCCAAAAGTAATGTAAATATTGTATTAGCATGGACAGTGAAACAGTTTATCATCAAGTTAAAATGTTTATATTGTTGACTATATACAGTTTACTGTATTTATTTCACTGTTACATTTTCGTAGTTACAGTACTTACTCTTAGGTGATGAAACAGTAATGAATTGTGTGTGTGAAGATTATTCTTTTAATAAATATTGCTTTACTCACCATAAACTGGCTGCATCTACCTAAACCGAGGGCCACATTAAATAGAATTTCTCAATCACCCTGTTGGCCGCACAAAGACGTTGTTTGGGCCGCACGTTGGCCGTGTGTTTCCCATGCCTGTTGTACAGTAAACTGTGGGAAGAACTTTCTGGCTGAGTTTCCTTTCAACAAGTGTTGGTCCTTCTACAACTTGACCCCCAAAAATGTACAGTACAATAATATTACTATAATTAAGGGGAGTCATAACACTTGCTTATTAACCCCTGGGCTTCAGGTAATGGTTGCCCCCCATGTGGGCATATTCAGGAACATTTAAAAAAATGAGAAGCAGTTCTAGTCAAACAGTGTGGTCATGCATGATATAAACAGGAAATAATTATATGTCCTTACCACCGGTTGGCAACAGGGGCTAGGAAGAGTTGAGAATTTTCGTAAAGTGACGTATGTATGACACAATAGTACGAGGTAAACAACACTAATTTGGAGGCAGTATGAAGTACAGGACACTTGTTTTACTATGCTATTACTAATTACATTATAACAATCATTATTACTGCTCCAGTAATTGATCACAATACTAGACTTGTACTTGGGTGTTGGGGGGTAGAAACACACGATGAAGTGAGTCAAGTCCAAGGGCAAGATTCCTAAAATCACAAAAGATGAGAAGAGACTGGGAGGCTCTCATGTGTGAATGAGTGAAAGATAAATATCTACTTGGCAACCTAATCCAGCCAGGACCGCCCTTTTATTCAAACAGGCCCGGGAAAGATCAAAACGTTATGTGACGTGACCTGAAGCTCTACAGACACACGTCACAGGACGTGACCCGAATTCTAGGGGTTAACCAAGTGTTTCTCATAAGTTATTAGTTGATAAATGTATAATCTCCCAATGCATCAAAGTAGCTGTATTTATTTTGTAATATCTGTGCTGTATTATTTTACAAGATGGGCACCATTACACTGGCACCTTTTAGGATGTTACTTGGAGATAATTTGTTTCTTGAATGTACTTTTAGTAAATGGATCCTGTGTCAATGGGAAAAAACAACTTTGAATTTATCTCAGAAATGACAATTTGGCCATGGCTTCTGCACCTTTGGCACAGAGGTGAATTTACAAAGAACATCTCCAGAGTATAATTTTAGCAAGAATTAATCACAGAGTACTGTACTGTAGAGTACTGTAATATTTACTGTAGGAACATCAGGAAATAGCTGTGACTCGACCTTAACTTCTGTACAGGTATACACTAAAAATTATTCAGCAACTTCTCAGGAGGAAAACTAATTTTGTCCTGTGATAAAATGGGTGCACTGTACTGTACTGTATCAGAGCTTTGTTTGTAGCTATGGTACTGTACTTTACTGTACTGTATTTGGACTACAAAATGCTCTAGGGCTGTATATGATTTCTGTGCTTTTATTTTTTTGATAGCATTCCCTATTTCACCACTTTGGCAAGTGTTAGTGTTATTGTGGTGAAAATTGATCAGAGTTACAACAAGACTTCAGCCAAAGGAAACGTGTTTACATTAAGACATTGAGCTACTCCAACTGAAGCCACAGCCGCCGCTCGTTACGTTCGGAGGATACAAACAAGTTAGATCTTAGAGTTTTTGTGTGTTCCTGTTATTATGTTCTAAGTTATGTTATGTCGGTATATTAATTTTTTCCTGTATGTGGATGCAACAGTATTGTACAGTGGTATGTGGATAAAACAGTCATATGGCCTGGATATGTACAGTACTTAAAGTGGCTGTCAATTATTTTATATATTATGGTCCTGGGAAAGCCTCAGAAAATCCAGAAATTTGCTCCATCCAAATCCCCTTCCCCTGCCATTTAAATGAGGGTTTACAGTGCTGTTATTATATTTACTTTATTATCCATTATAAAATATATAAGTTTGTTTACCATCTGTCTGAGGGTGAGAGAATGGTGCCACACAACACATTTACCTACAGGTGGAGTTCATGTATTTGATATTTTCTAGCTTATGCATAACTTAATTGCTTGCTTTTCCTTTTCACCACTGGATATAATTTATGAAATTGTGACCTAAATTATTTTAAATTCAAACAAGCATGATTAAATATTAGTGATAAGTGATTGGTGGAGTCAGTCAAGTCACAATTGATATTGACAGGTGGCTGAGGCAAGAACACTGATGATGAAGAATAATGTACACACACACACACACACATGTACACACTGACACTCACACACGCATTTACACACATATACATGCACATACAATACACTAATTTTCAGGTGTGTGTGTGTGTGTGTGTGTATCTCCATTATACTGTACACTAGTAAAAGAAACATTGATCATGATAAAATATATATTGCATGGCTGGTCTTGTCTTATGTCACACTAAACATAACAACCCAGTAGAGAACTTGCCCCAGTAATGTCTGACTCCAGTGTACTGTAGTGCTGTTATAGTATTATGGCATCACATGAAGATTAGCCCCTTAGATTATTTCTCCTTAAGATTAACCGCCCTAATGCAGACCTAACCTAAAGTAACATCGAGACCAAACCTAACCTAACCTAATGTAAACTAACACATCCTAAACTATCTAACTCAACGTAACCTAACCTTACTTAACCGTCCCCACCCTACCCCTTTTCCCCAAGTAACCATTAGGGTGTTAAATCATCACATAATATAAGTCATGGGGTGGGTGGGTAGGGGTTGCTAATCTTCAGTCGATCCACATTATGTAGTTGTGATATGAGAGACATAAATCATTAAAAGATTATAAATACTGTACAGGATATCACACACGCCAAGTCTTGTATCCAGCGGCGTCTTGACCTTCTCCTTACCATCCTGGCCAGGGTCTAGGTGATAGCTTCTACCAGTCTTCTTTTAGAGGAGATGGTAACTCCACCTCGTCTCCTGTCAATGTGAGTGTTGGCAGAAAATAGTCGCTTTCTATGACTGCTTTTTTATTGTTGTTGTTGTTATTGTCCTGTTTTATCGTTGTTTTATGTGTTTTATTTTTGATGGGGTAATTTTATTATTATTATTACAGTAGGGTCGGGATATATCGCGAGATAGGGTCCAACGATGTTCGCTATACAGTATACTAAATCGTGATATATAATTACTTGTAATGAAGGGGAAAATAGGGTTAAGTTCTGGGTGCCAAAAAAGGTGACTAAACATAACAAGTTCATTTTCTTACTAACTAAAGCACCAATGAACACTTGACTCGGGAACAACAGGCTGTTTCAATATCGGTATCAAGGAACACCAGACTCGGCAGCTGACGCACCATCCTGGGAACACCAGACTCGGCAGCAGATGCCACACTGCCACCCTCACTTGACAATCCCACACCTACAAAAATGAACACCAAAAATATTAGTTACAATATTAAATCTTTTCCCTTAAGCTTTCCATTATCTTCACTTCACTTTTCACATCACTAGCAACCCATTTACACTCGCTTTAGAAATTGGAATCTGCACCAGACTCGACAGCTGACGCGCCATCCTGAGAACAACAGATGACACACTGCCACCCTCACTTAACAATCATAAATGAACAAACCAAAAATATTAATTACAGTAGTAAATCTTTTCCATAAACCTTTCCATTATCTTCACTTCACTTTTCATGTCACTAGCAACACATTTACACCCACCTTATAAGTCTTAATCTGCAGCAGAGTCGGCTGCTTTCTCGTCACTCACTCAGAAAGACTGAGCAGGTGAGTGTGAATGCTTGAGTGAGCAGCCACGGTTGTGCCTCTGGTAAGCAAATAATGCATTTGTTTTCCATGGCGGTACATCTGAAATATTTCCTGCCCGATTTCCCTCGCGAAATGAAAAATTTATCGCTATACAGTACTGTATACAGGAAAATTTCGCCGATTTTGGTAGCCGTGATAAAAAAATCTTTATATAAAGTCGCGATATATCCCAAACCTACTTTATTTTATTATTATTATTATTTATTTATTTAAATTTTTTTATGAGTAATATTTTTTAAAGGTAATTTCACAGTGTGCGGAGTCCGTGTTATATAGAATTATCACCATAGAAATCTGAATTACTTGTATAGGAGGATTTTTGTACTGTAGATAATTACTATACCTGTACTGTACTGTACTGTTTACTATAACGCACATGGAAATAGTCCATTAAAGTACTGTACTGTACTGTACTTGGACCATCCAGCTGCTGCCATTAAATATTTCTCTTGACTATATTTATCCAAGACAATAACTGTAATATAAATCTATGACACTAGGTGTAGGAAGTGCATGTTATCAGAGACTTTGTTTGGCTATAGTGAATATAACATGGATTCAATATTGCAGAATGTATAACTAACATTTCTATGGAGCCCTGGGTATACAACTTTTATAACTGTTTATTTCATTTATATAGTATGTCCTCAAATACCTTTATGAACATACTTGCACATATTTCAGCATTACGTGTTAACAGTTCGGTTGAAGGTGTATGAGTGTTCAGAAATTAGAACCAAATCAAGGGAATATATCTTACCAGGTAAACATTTCTGTCTGGAAGATTAATGGATGACTGTGATGTAGCAATGATTACCTCAAGGGATGAACAGAACCCGAAGAAGTAGTCTTCTTAAAAGAAGAGACTAATTATAGGATTTTCCTGTGTATATTTTTGTCTCTATCTCTTTATGTGGCAAATCCATCATGTGGTCTCCAGTTACTGATGGTGTGGCATTGGGTATAAATCTTAAGAATTACTGTACTGTATTGTAATTATCTGTAGTGTATCAATTTAGTTCAAAACTGGTATAAATTTTGACATATACGGGTATACAGGTATTCCAGTTCACACTAGTGATGGCAAGCTTGGTACAGTCTCTCTCCATAACCTTCCTTACTTCCTGTCATTCACTCCTGGAGAAATATTTGATATTCTTTGTACATTCCAGTGGTCCTCCTGAGGGAAGAGGAACAGTGTGTTTTAGTTTATCTTTCGCTTGAGATCTTGATAAGATTTATAATCTGGGTGAGTGGTTAAGAACATCCTCCTGCCTGAATCAGTTCTTATGGTTTCCTTAAGGGAGAAATTAATTTATCAAGAGATAACATTTTATAGCTGAACCTGTAACTAAGCAACTTAAGACAGTACTGTACAATACAGTCTTTACTAATTTTACAAATTGAAATCAGTTAGATTCTTGATAGTAGTACAGTAGTTTGTTAGGCATGTCTCCTTGTTACAGTCATAGCCATTAAAAGGAGGACTTTACTAAAAGCAACAGTCACCATTAAAGGTTGCTCACCTCACCCGTCAGCTGGGTGGCTATCGTGGAAGTCAGAGTATCAGTCCATTCAGTGCTATTTGAGGATCACTGAGAGGAGAGATGGTATCTAAGTCACTTACTGATGGGCTTGTCTTTTAAACTGGATTTGAAGAGTATTTCATCAATGACTCATCAACAGTACTGTGTGTGAGGCAGTTAGATTAAAGAGAGGATGGTGGCATGGGTAAACACCAGTTACTAGTGCTCACAGTCTGCTCACCTTACTGGGATGTTAACCTCTTATAATACACTGGAGTCAATCTGGCTGATGTAAATAGCTGTTGACACTCATGTGGTCTAAGACTTTGTACATAATTTTTTTTTTTTTATAATAGGAATTAGCCCACCCGGGTACAGGTCACTGACCCACATGGGGGTATATGTAATAATAATTCATAGTAAATAAAATTTTTAATAAAAATTACAAATTTGAAAATAAATTAATAATAGCACTGTAATAATAATAACAATAATTATAATAACAATAATAATAATAATAAAGAAATAAAAAAAAAAGATCAAAAGTGAAAAACAATATATGTATGTTGTGTTGTCAATAGTAAGAGAAAAAAATTGAGACCCTGCAATTGTGTGTAAATGAGGCAGAAAGTCAGATCAGTAACCTGGAACTTGGTCACAATTTTCGTGATGCCATATGGTAGCAGGGTCTACCATTAGACAATACTTTATGCTTCCAATATCTTGCCAGGCGGTAGTACAGTACCTCCCAGTTTGGTAGCTGCCTACTATCTTTGGTGAGTTATCAAAGATATAACATGAAGCTCCACGCTTTGACTCTGTGGATGGCTTAAAGGTTATCCCATCAATAAAAGGACCAATTATGATGGAACACATCTCATTTTAGAGCAGTACCAACTCATCCTTCACAAAGTCCCCATTAGAAGCCAGGAACCTAAGGACTGGATGTAGGACTGGTTACAAAAGCTTCTTACAACATGGTAGTCAAGCACAGTATGACCAGCTAAAAGATTTACAGACAAACTTTACTCATATACAAGCAAGGAGACCTTATGATGAATGGTATAATTCAGCTTGAAGGTTGGACTTGCCTCCCGGAAGGCTTGTACAATATTCTGTAAAGAATCCATCTAGAATCCCACTAAGAACTAGCTATTGGGGCATTTTATGAAGCAGAGAATACACACCTTTAAAATTCTGGCTATACAATATATAATCCAATAGAAAACTACAGTAAACATAAAAGTTTTCCCTCTTCCTCATTTCCTGCCAAAATCAGAAAGAACTTTGAAGAAGTTGATAATAACTCTGAAAGTGTAGAAAGTAGTTCCTGCCACACTATAATAGGGCTATTAATGTCGACCAACTTCTGTGCACTATCATATGTTTTAGAAGCTCTAGGAGGAGCCATAAACACAACACTACATCCACGTGTTCCCTTCTGATATAATGGAAACAACTTGAAATCCTCCTCTGAGTGTGGACAAGCTGCAGCTGATCAAAAATCTCATCTGGCAGAGGTTAGGAATCACACTCTTCATTGTTCTCAGGAGAATTTACCATCACTCTTATCCAGGGGTCGTTTCTAACCACCTTAGGAGCACCTTTTGTTGCCCCATCCCTCTCTAGATGACAAAGTACGGGGTCGTGTTAGAGGACGGATGTTTTCTAATGAGTAAATTCCTTATAAGTGGCAGGAACACATACAGTACTTTCTCCAATTGGTCCTCTTACTGAGAGGATCTCTAGAACCTCACTCTGACCTGAGTAAACTGGGGTTGGTCAACATCCTTGCCAGATACTCTCCCTTCTAGTCTCAAGAGGAGGATCTGAACAAATACTGTATGTCCTTGATAAGGGGAAAAATATCTTAACATTCTTTTTATTGTTATTATTATTATTATTATTATTATTATTATTATTATTATTATTATTATGCTATACTGCGATTATGACTATTTTATCATTACTAATTCCGGCTAACGGAGATATTACTGTATTTTCTTCACTATTTGTTTCCGTATTGTGTCCAAATAACAGTTCTCCTAATTTTATTGTTTTCTGAAAAGTGTGTTGTACAACAGTTATTCCCAGGACGCAGTACAATGTCGTATTTTTTAATGACACTCTGGGAGAGCTAACGCGTCGGCTATTCCGTGCATCTTAAAACGCCTTACAATAAACGCCTTTAATCCTCAGGCAGGCGAAGAATGGGTAAGATGCTTAATTCTGTTGATCAGGTTGTTATAAAACATTTCACTTATGATATATTTAGCATTATAAACTGCCAGGGTAGTTATACCTCTCTCACTTAACATGGTATTTTTTAAACTGGCAGCACCCTGGTCCCTTAGGTGCTGGATATGAAAGAGTTAACTGCACTGTGATTGTTGTTGTTACATAAAGTCCCACATGAAAAGTGTAGCCCCTATAGACAATAGAAAATGGCTTGTGCAGCTCATATAGAATCCTTGGCATTAAGACTTAAATTCAGTTTTCAATTAATATGATAAAAGGAACCCAAGAAGAGAATACGGGGAACCTGAAGAGTGCCAGCCAGGCCAGGGAGAGGTGGGAAGGCTGGGCAACACTCCTGTGGTCACCAGCTAGGTATACTGTACCGGCCTTTTCCAAATAAATTAAGTACTTTGCTGTACACTATACTCACCCCATTTGGCAGAGGACTTGAACATTTATTCCGTCACAAAAGGATCCCTCAAAGATGAAGCACTGTGTGGCCCTTAGACCAACAGAAAATCTGCCTTTCAAAAAAAAATTGAAATAATCTATAAGAAGAAATTGACCTCACAAGTGCTCCTACAACAAAACCCCATCTCTGAACAGTGAGCGGTGTAGCCCCTTACAGTGTTCTAATAGTGTTTTCCACTTATCAGGAATGCTCTCTTAAGAGGATGGGAAGATGAATGTTCGTTGGAATAATTTAGAAGGTTTATCCTCCTCTTCAAGTATTTTGGTATTCCACCTCCTTGAACCTTCCATCCTATAGTAACACCTGTGGAAAGGAGATGGCCAAGAGCTGTAACCCACAGAACAGCCCTGTCTATGCCAATTAACCTGGTGATAAAGACATGTGCCTATTTATTTCAGTATGTAGTAATTTTTAGTGTTGGATTTAAATGACTATACTTCTCATTTGTTTTTCAGGGGCTTGAAAGATAAAATGGTGAAGTTTGCGGAGGCTGAAAAGCGCGGCCGTGGGGGTGAGGGTAGCGACCGGAGGTACACGCCTGTTGTGATGGTCGAGAGAGCGAAGATGAGTCGGGCCATGTGGGAGTCCCTTAAGGCCCACATTATCAGAGACCGCAAGAGAAAAAAGGAAGGTTGGTTCATGAAACACTGTAATTACTTTGTTTGCTTATAGTATTATGTCACTTCCTTCATTTTTCTTGAGCTACGTACTTTCCCCCTCCCTGAAGTTTTTTATTTCTTGTATTATCCCCCACACTAAGTGGATAGATGGATTCATTGAAAAGCAGCTACTTGTATTGTAATTTATCTCTCACTAAACCTAAACATCAGATTTATATGTCAGCCACAGTTGATGTTGGGGTCGAGTTCTTGTATACATTGTGATTTTAAGAGAAACAACTTCAAGTGAATCCATACCTCTTCTGAGGAACCCCAGTTATGTTCCTTAGGACATAATTCAGGAATATTTTTATGATAAAAGACAAAAATAAGTTGATGCATTGTATCTATAATTGTTGAAATCTTGTCTCCATTATCTTAGTCATGGAACGTGAGCCAAGTACCTCCCAATGTCCACTGCTTGTTTCATCAACATTTAAATACTTCAAAACATTTAATTTCACTTCAAGAGAGATCTTATAATCAGAATTGAATAAACTCAGTAGGAGAGATCTTGTGATTAAGTTGCAGCTGAGTATCAATAACCTTGTACAGTAGATCCTAATTATCTCACAATAGTGGGACCAAGAATTACTGTGAAATAGTGATTTGTGATATATTAGTATGTTCTATATTTCTGTGTGGAATATATTAGACAGGATTGGCACCCTTAAATTCCTTTTAAGACATTTCACCTGACCCGACCCGACCCAACCCACCAACCCAACTCACCACACCTCACATTGTTAGCAGACATTGAGACTACCACTTACCTCAGGAACTGAAACAAAAAAAATCACTTGAATATATTCTTCAAATATTTAATGCTATTCCAAGAAATAAAACATTAAAAAACATATTTAATGGTCTTCCTGGTTCCTATACTATACCAATACAAAATTATTATGCAGTTCATAACAGAGAAAAGATTAACTGCCCTAGCAGGTAGCCAGCCAATCACTGGTAAGAGGGTAAATGAGGAGTATTTGTACTCATCACTTAGTTTTAGTTTCTTCTTGAATATTTAATCTAAAAACACTATTTTAAACTCACTTGGAGAAATTGGCATGGTGGAGATGGTGATCTTCTGGTTCTGGACATGGGTCATCTCACCATATCCAGGAGTCATATGTGAGAGTGGTTGTGCTTCCATCTAGTTAAATGTGGAGGAAATTTTTCTTGTTGTGTGTTACCTGACACAGTGCTTGTTGTACCTCTGACTTCTTGGTGGTTGGAGAGGTATAAGAAGCACTTGAAGGATTTTTAGATATTTTGAGGTATTGATGAGAACTGGCTAGCCTTGGGTGAGAAGTTGAACTGCACAATAATGAAAAATGGGAGTAATTCAGGAGATTGCAAAATAAAAAACAAGAAAGTATTGAACCACAGAATAATGAAGATCTACTGTGTGACTACTTGAATGACCACAAAATTGAAAATGCCAGAATGACTGTGACAAAAACCATATACAGTTGTTGTTAGTAGCTGATGATTTTGCCTTCTACTACAAGTCTTGGAGTAAAAAAAGAGAGAGATTTATCACCAGAGCAAGAAGCGGATGCAGAGGAGGAGCGACTACGGAAGGAACGTGAGAACCGGAAGAAGCAACACGCCATGACCCTGGAAGAGACGAGGGAGAAGCTCTCTCAGATGGAGCAGGACCTTAATGATCTGAAGAATCAAAAGCATCAACTCTTTCAAGACTTAAAGGTTGTTCTTAATGAGGACGCCACACGAAAACGTGCCCAGCAGCAAAGTTATCTCAAGGAAAGGTAGGTGTTCTTGTTTTGTTTTTTTATCTGTGCAGTACATTAGTAAAGCTTAATATGATTTGTTAGTCTCTTTAGTCCATTTATAACTTGTGTGAGCGAAAGGAAGAATGAGTTGAAGGAGTGTAAGAATATTTTTATATCATGGCCAAAGGAAGAGAGAATTCTTATTATCATTTTAATATCTCCTGTTCAACAAGTTAGAAGTGGGTTCTGCCAGTTCCTTTCTCCTTGTCTTGACCTTAGTTGTGTGTCCAGAGTGTGTATAAAACTCAGAAATTGTTACAAATATCTACAAAACTCTTTGTATATAATGTACCAGTAACTGATTAATAATTTTTTTTTTGTTAAGTTGGGTGCTTTAGTATGGGAAATAGATGACTGTGTTCTCTTCTGTCATTTACAAAAAGAAACTAATTCCTATCGGTTTGTTATTGACATCCCCAGTGAACTGATGGCTGTCCATTCGTACCCACATGGCACAATCCCACTGGGCAGTCATCCACAGATGCTCTTCCAGTCAAACCTGATTCCGGGCCGAGGGTCTCTACCCATCCATGGGTACAAAGTTCCCCCAGCCCAGCCACAGCCACTTGTCCCTCAGGTAAGTGTATTGCTCAACATGGAAGCAGAAGATGACTACACTTGAGGGAGGTGTCAGCTAACTCAATCTGGTGCTGGCCTCAAAGTTCTGACCTTGGTGTTTTGACCTCAGAAATATAATAGCTTTAGGGCTTGTCATGGGGATGATATAGGACAATTATGAACATTGTAGGTCTTACTGGTCCATTTGTATTGCCAACATAGAGTTAGACTGTTGGCACTGACTGACTACCCTACTCACACAGTCTACTTGGAATGAGTATTAAAAGAGGAGGTGGTGAGGATAAAGGTTTCACGAGAAGAAGCTTATAGAAAAGTGTGTGAGACTACTGTATACAGAAGTGAATAAAAGAAATAAAATGTTGAAGATATGAGAAGAAAGTTTTTATATTTTCATTTAATTTTATGGACTTTTTTCAGATTTCTGAAACAAGCTCATAGTGTATGGAGAAAACTGTTTGGATTGTCACTTTTTTTCTTTTTTTTCCCCAATGCAAATTAATATATGAAAGCTACTGACTCCAAAAGTACCACATAGAATATTGATATTTTTTTCAAAATTCCCCTCCCAGGGTTCTCTGAAGAGGACACGCACACCATCACCACAGCCACCACCTCAGACAGGCTACCAACAGATTCCATACAACTTTAAGAATTTGCAAGGACATCCACCACCCAGCGTACCGGTCACACTTCCCACCACCAGTGAGTCGTGTTCTGGTTATTGTAGACTTGATACAGTACCTGATTCCCCCTTCCACCCACCCCATCCCATGCCTTCCATCCCATGTGCTTTTGTTTTTTATTTGTATTTGTTGAAGCTTTTTTTTTTCTCCATAGCAGCATCTTAGTTATTTATGAAGACAAGGTGAAGGGCAGGGTTCTTTTCCCCTCGCAACGTATATTCATTTATTCACTGGAGGTGTATGTGGTGCTATCCCAGTCTGTCATGTGTGTATGAAATATTTCCCTCATTAATAACTCCAGGAAAGGTTTACTGGGTTAGTGGACAACAATAATAATCAGAATTCTACAAACAGCACAGCACATGTTTCCCACTTATGGCTATACCTCTTTTTGTTTTTTCATTGAATATTTAGCCAGATGGAATATTGCCCCTTCAGTGATTGTCAAGTTATTTATTTATTTATTTATTTTTAATTTGGTTCATTAGTAGAGACTAATGATGTAGTACCTGTCGGGGAGGGGGGCTGGTGCTAATCATCAGGTGACCAATGAGGGTTAAAATGACAGATGGCCTCGTTTGTGGTCGCAGCCTCGGGTTTCGACTATATGACCGGTAGAGTAAAAATTTAGATCCTATTGAGTACAGTATGCCCCCCAAGTTCACGGATTTTTACTTCGCGGTTCTCGGTTATTCGTGAATGACACCCTGGATGTACCCAAGAATGTCTGTGGGTAGTTTTAAAGTTGTCTGCATTTTCGCGGCTGGGACAGGGAGCCATTCGTTCTAGAGACAGTAATTTCCTTTACCTGTATTGTAAATATGTGTGTGTGTGTGTCACACACACAAAACACATACTGTACAAATAAATAATAAATTGGAAAATCCTCTCACAAATAATCAGAAAAAAGTTATTAAAAATGTAACAGTCTACCCTCAAGTCCGTGCTCTATTACGGTACTTTATTAATAGAGAACGGACTTGAGGGTAGACCATCACATTTTGAATAAATTTGTGTCTGATTATTTGTGAGAGGACTTTCCAATTATTATTTAATTTGTATGTGTTTTGTGTGTGTATGAGTCTACACACACACATACACAATACTACAGGTAAAAGAAATAATTGTCCTGAGGGCAAACACATAAAGGGAATATACATTTCTTTGTACACAAGTATAAAAATGTTATTTGGGGATTTGGCGATTCGCGGCCATTTTGAGAACCTAATCCCAGCAAATTTGGGGGGCCCCATGTATAAATAAACCTAAGCCCTCAGTGACAAGGAAGACATTTTGAGAAAGAAGAATAAACAAAACAAAAGTAGGTACAGTATTTGGGTGTGACGGAAGTAATGAGACAGAGGTTGGAATAATTGTCAGTGAGGCAGCAGAGAGGAATGTTAAGCATACAGTATATTAGTAGTGTGAGAAGAAGTCTGAGAATCAATAGAGTTAGTGTCAGTTACATTTCAAGGAATGAACTTAAGATTGTGAGTGCATGTGAGGATGAATGATGGGTGTTGGCTGGGAATAAGGTGACTGAAGCCCAGGGTTATTTTAGGCTCTAAATTGTGTATGTAGAGGATCTTTGAGCATCATGTACTTAAGTAGTTTGCTCAGTTTAAACCAGTCAAGCTACAAATGGACATGTACTTATGGGTGAAAATACAGGATTTCTTGCAATACTTATGGGTGAAAATACAGGATTTCTTGCAATACTTATGGGTGAAAATTAAGGATCTCTTGCAATACTTATGAGTGAATATACAGGATCTCATATATTATGCTAAGAATGGGCTGGGAACAGAATGACAGAATTGTTGATCATATGAAACTGAAACTGTCCAACTCTTTGATGGGTGAAACATTAGCTAAGCCCAGAGGAGGATAGATGGAGGATGGATTGCTTAGAGAGTAAGTGACAAAGTACGAACAAGTGCTTTAGTGGCCACCCTGTACTGTACTGTAGTGGTAAGGGGCTCTTAAGAGTGGGAAAAATAAAATGTGGGGTGGAGTAGGGAAGATCAAGGTAGGGTTGAAGGATGGACTTACAGGAAATAGTGGAGTACAGTATGTGAATAACTGGAGAACAAAGAACATTGCATCAAGAGTGAATGGACTAAGAGAGAGAGCATGTGGTACAGTAGTTCTGGTAAAGTGGCCTGAAACACTGATTGAAAATATAGATTTTTTTTTTTTAATGTGAAATGCGCTAAAGTAAAATTAGATATTACAATTAGAATAAAAAAGCGTATATTGATTTGAGGTTAGAGAATAAAAATTTTGAGAGAGAGATTAAATGAGGGAGAAATGAACACTCACTTAAACTTTTTACTTCCTGTCAGGTTGAAATTCGTGTTCAGAAGATATCACTGTTCAGAAGCTCATGTTAGTGCTCTTTAATCTCTTCACTACAGGGACCTCCTTGTTTAATATTTTATTAGGTTAATGCCAGATGATTTTATTCAGCTCAGAGGGAACCCCATACACAAGGAGCTAGAATCATGACTAATACTCATGTTAGTATTAGAGGTGCATGACTAATTTATTCTGCATTTAATTAATTAATAATCAGAAGCAGGGATTTACACTTTACTTATTTAATATACAATGGATATACAGTATAGACAAAAATGGGAAGTATATGATTCAGAGGGGGATGACAGGAGGGAGAGGGGAAGAAAATTAAATTGGGTGAACCTCTCACTTACTGATATCATGACCGTGTATAAGATGCTGTGCGGCAGGAATATAGGTATCTCTCGCTTAATAAATGTTTGAGGTACGAAAATTTGCTTATATAAATTTTCTAAATGAATGCCTCTTTTTGTCTAACGAAAGCTTCCCCGCTTATATTAATTTGGGTTCCAACAAAAACTCAAATCGCATGCCTCCACAAGTCAGCTGAGGCGGCCTTCTATGAGAGATGGGCAGAGACGTATTTTGCTCAGTGATCATAACAAACTCACTCCCTTCCCTCCCACATATCTCCCCTAGCACTAGTCTTTCATTCCACCATTCTCCAACCCTTGTGGTGAGCCCTGTCATTTGGTTCGTTTATTTGAATTCACAGCTGAGGATGGTGGTGTGCTTATCTAAGTGTTGCACTTAACATCACTTGAGACTTTTTGCCAAGTTAGAATTGTCACTGTAGTCACACCCAAGCCCCCCCCCCACCCTCTTGCTACTAGGCCGAGCTGTAAGCTATGTTATGGTTATTATTCAACTTATAATTTAGGGTAGAAAATCTTAACTTTCTTCATACTGTATTTCTTTTGTTATTCATTTATATGCACACACAATCCTTCATACAGAATGTGTCCCCCAAAAAACATAAAGGGAATAAACATTTCTTCATGTGGCAGTGAGAGTTAGCAGGTTTTGTAGGAAAGCTATGTTATGGTTATTTTTCATCTCTTAATTTTGGGTAGATAAAGTTAACTTTCCTCACTTTTTTTATTTTTATTTATTTATTTTTCATGCACAGCTGCACACACTCAGCTGGGTTGAGATGCTATGACGAGCTTTGAGACCATGCGGCAACGTTTTATGCAAATGGTGATTGTGTTAAACTTTCATTTAGCTTTTCCTTAATGTATTTAGCTGCATATTTTAATCTAGACATTATTTTATTAATTTTTTTAATGTGTTGGGTAGTAAATTACAGTAGACAGGTACTATTTATCATTAGTTAGGTAGTTTTTTTAATGTACATGAATCGATTTGATATTTTTTTGGTACAATATTGGGGTTTTCTTGTCGTTGGGAAGTGAACCCTATTTTTCCATTTGTTCTCGTTAAGCGAGGGATACCTGTACTGTATAGGTATAAAACAAAATTTAATACAACAGAAAATGAAGGAAGGAAGGAAGGAGAAAGGGAGGTATTGTATATTTCATGACCTCATCTTTCAAAACACACACACACACACACTTTCTTCATGGTTTTGGTGGATGCATCATATAAATTTGAAAAGTTTCATGGACTAGCCAGGAAATATTCATCCTGAGATTATATCATTAGGTTATGGAAGCATGTTTGAAGGACTGAAGCTCGTGACTGTACACAGGCTGGCTTCCTAAACAGTTAAGGGAGACTGTAGTGTAAAGAGGAGAATGTGTGGAGTACTGTAAGCTATGTGGATGATGACTGAAGTACTGGAAGCTATGTGGATGATGTCTGAAGTACTGGAAGCTATGTGGATGATGACTGAAGTACTGGAAGCTATGTGGATGATGTCTGGAGTACTGTAAGCTATGTGGATGATGTCTAGAGTACTGGAAGCTATGTGGATGATAATTAACTAATGAAAGCCATATGAACTTGCAATTAACGAAAGAACAAGAAGCAAAATTTTATGCAAATACTGGTATATCTCTTCCTTCTGCCTTAATGCTTTAATTGTTGACATTTAGAATTAATTGTCATGGATCACTTCTGTAGTCAGCATTTAAGGACAGTTAGCTCCCCAAATGTTTCTCTAGTTGGCATTTAAGGATAGTTAGCTCCCCAAATGCTTCTGTAGTTGGCATTTAAGGATCGTTAGCTCCAACCAAATGCTTCTGTAGTTGGCATTTAAGGATCGTTAGCTCCCCAAATGCTTCAGTAGTTGGCATTTAAGGACAGTTAGCTCCCCAAATGTTTCTGTATTTGGCATTTAAGGACAGTTAGCTCCTCAAATGTTTCTGTAGTTGGCATTTAAGGACACCTGGTCTAATACCTTTTAATGTATAGGGCTAAGAATTTTAATGACAACTTCCAAACATAATTTAACAGAAGGACTTGATCTGAAATATTTAGAACCTGAGAGTTTGGCAAAGTAAAGTTAGTTATGGTTTGAGGAGAAAAAATGCAGTGAAGATGTTATTAATTTCATTGTAGGAAGAATTAGGTTTGGTTTATTGGTTTAGGGTTCTGGTTAGGGCAGCTTGACATCAGTATACAGCAATGGGTGAGATGGGGAGGAAAGGATAATTTAGCATCAACAAATTTTTTTTTTTCCTTTTTTTATGATTTGAGATAAATTATAGAAGGGAAAAGTTATTACTATTATTCATTTTATTCCTTCGATCACGAATTTTACAGTTATTTGAAATGTAATTTATTCTGTGTCATTGTTCATTTAGAAGTAAACAGTTGTGTTGGTGCGTCAGTACTGTATGTTGAAGTACTGTGCTGTACTCCCATGTTGTTGTGGAGGTGAGTGTTCCCTTATTTGCTTCAGATGTGCCATATTGTCTCTTCTTATTGTGTGCCTTACTAACACACCCTCTTGTGCAACCCCCTTCACTTGTACAGAGGCCGGGAGTGCGAGCAGTGTGTACGTGGCGGGTCAGGCACCTTACTACCATGGGTCTAACCAGGCTCATGGCAGCTCCAGCCAGTACCAGGCCTCCTCCCAGGCTGTGGCCTACCTCCCGCCTGCAGCACCAACCCACACAAACCCTCCCGCTCCCTCCCAACCCCCACAACCCCCTCCCCGAGATGATAAACACCTACAGCCTGTTTATATGCAGAGCAGTCGAGGTGAGTGTCAGCGGTCGAGGTAAGTGTAAATATGAAAGTGGATCTTGTCTATTTATGTTACTCTTGTGTATTACTAGACACAGGCATACTGCAAGTCTGTCTGTCCTCATCTTCATCCAGTCGTGGAACATAATTGGTACAGGAAACCTCTATTAAACGGACTATATGGAGAGGAAAGTCCATTATATCGAGGCTCCGTTATATGTGGAACCCCCAGCCAACAGATTACTATATAGAAAGAGAAGTCTGTTATATGGAGGTTTCACTGTACTTTTCTCTCATTATTTTTGCATTCTAAATTTGCTTTCTTTGTGTTAGTTTTATAATTGTTAGTTTGATGTCACAGTTTAGTGTCAGGATATGTTTTCTTGTACAGGTAACTCCCGAGATGTGATACTTCACATTAATGATGGTTATAAATTAACACCATCTCTCTATACTGTGTACGATCAAAACAACTCACTTTAATGATATCCATCAAATAACCATTAATATCCATTGGTTGGAAAGTTTTTTCTGCAGTGCAAATTATAGGTTATTTATACTCAAATTAATCGCCTTGTAAGGATTCCAGTTATGCAAATTATATTTTTCTCTGTCATGTCAGTGGCATTTTATAAGGAAACTATTTAACCCAATGCACCACACATCTCACCCTTCACTTGTCAGCCCACCCGTGTGTCGCCACACGGTCAACCCACCCACTACAGCCCTGTGTCGGGTTCATTGTCGAAAGTAAACCCGCCCTCGCATGGCTCCACTATCATCGACCAGCATCGTACATTGTACTTTTCATCAGTGGGTTGTTCTTATATATAGACTGAACTGTGTTATGGTGACTGAGGTGATATTTTCTGTATATTTTAGGAATTGTAAGGTACGTCAACTCTGTTTTGACAGTGTGAGCAGTGTCGACCGCTATCATTGTTTTTGTTATTATTGTCTGCTCTGTTTTAGACAAGTGCTTTTGCACTGTTTTTGTGACTATGAAGCGAGCAGTGTTACTTTGAAAATGTCTGGGAAGGCCAAGGCATCCAAGACAACCATGTCTGAGGTGAAGCTTGACATTGTTAAGCAGCATTAGGCTGTGTGTGGGAGTCAGAGTGACGTCTCCACTCCACCTACAAGAGTCCCTTTTAGACTCGTAGGGACATGCGATGATGAACAGAGTTGTTCAATATGGTGTGGTGAGTGTTATTTATTGTTTTCTACTGGCAGTAGTATTGTAGGAATTTTTTGTCAGTGATACTGGTGTGTTTGGGGACTGGCTGGGAAAGTGTTCCATTGAACCCCAAGTTATAATGCTCCATATTTATGATATTTCACCTAGCGATGGGTTTTTCCAGGAATTTAACCCCATTGTATCTCGGGGGTTACCTGTGAGTTAGTGGCTGTAAGACTTAGTTATTTTTTAGACTAAATGCAGCGCCACACTTACACTTTTTCTGTCATTCTATTACATAAATTTTCTAAAAAAAAAAAAAAAAATCTGAGCGCGCCGTCACACGCTTAGAGAACTCGCGCACCAGTCTTTCCGCGTTCGTCAATTGTAAACAAAGAAGATGGCTTTGTGTGTCTTCCTCTTCATTTTTTACTGTATCTATCATCCCTTGGGTCTCACAGGCAACGATACGATCTAATATTGTCTATCATGTGTTCTTTGGACAGGCGTCTCCACACAGGCCGTGAAGTTGAACATACGGCTCAATGTAAACGAATGTATCAAATGTATTTACGAATATCAACATCATTGAAAAAATGCACTTAAGCAGTTTGTTAAAAATGCGACATAATGCGAATAATTTTAAAACTAAGTATAGTTATTTTGTTATTTGATATTTATTTTATATAAATATCCTCATTGTCAAGTATAAATCTTGACTTGACCACAAAAATTGGCACAAGCCAGTCAGGCGGAAATGATACGTTTTGTCTGAGTGACACAGGCTATAAAAATTGACAATTCGTGGAAAAACCGATGAAAACCGGGAAAGTTGACAGAAAAATTGGCATTTATTACAGTATTTAACTACTCACCCGTTGGCAGATTCTTTAGCTGATACTGTCTGGACATCCAACACCCACTCAACTCCTAATCCTAGCAGTTGCTAAGGAAACCAAAAGTCGTCAGACCTTAGTTGATGTTATCCAAAGCATGAATACAATACAGACATTTACAGTGCTGGTAACCTGTCATCTGCCCTGTGTGGTGTGCTTCTGGGTAAACCTCTTCATGTATCTCACGGAGACTCTGTTATAGACTACAGTATTGTGGATTGAAATGCACTTCATATTCATTTAATTCCTTCTCCAGTACTTGTGTTTTGTGTAGTGAAAGGACCCGCTCGCTCGGTAGGTGAGTTCCAGGCTAACCTCCTAGGGTGTACAAATTAACTGATTAAGCCACATCCCATTCCTCTGAACTGCACAAGCGGCCATAACATCTTCTTATCCCATGTTTATTTTCGACAGATTAAAATTAGTGAAAGTGTGCAGTTGATTTTAGTGTTTGTACTTTCATTCACAATTAGTGGTTTCAAAAGTAACTCAAAGTACAGTGGATGTGGTTGTCTTTGAGGTGGGTTTTACAAATGAACCATCAGTATCTATTTTTGACGTAAACGTGACATTTTTGCTGGAAGGGATAAATTTGATAACGTATTTTATGATTTAAATTATTATCCTATACTGTTCACCCTGTCCATTTTTTCTAACTCAGGTGACAGTCAAATGTTTCAGAGGTTGTTGATACAGAGTTTCTAGTGCACGAGTGTTAAGTTTTGTCAGTGGCTGTAATGTATTGTGAGAATGCTGTGTATGGCCTGATAAGAGTACTCAGAGGTAGTGAGATACAGTATAAAATGATGTTCCTGTACCTGTAGTAGTTTTCCTGGTCAAGAATCGGAGTTTGTCGTCCACGGAACTTCTTATTTCTGTTTATTGTATATAGGGAGAAAGAGAAAAAATATATATATTGTGTTCTATTATGTTTCTATTGCAAATGAGCTGTTATGGAGATATAACCTTCCAGTTACCAACAATATTAAATGTTCGATGTGTGCAGGGCATTGAAATAGAGGGAAATGTGGGGGTAAAACAATAATATAAAAAAAACACCAAACAAACCTTTGAAAAACTTACCTAACTTTTCCTAACCTATAAAAATCTCAAAACTGAAAAAAAAATTACCTTATTTCTGTTTTTGGTGTTTAGTATGTGATGGTGTTGTGTTCAAATGAGGAGTGGCCCATTATCTTGAAAGCGATTGTTAACCTTTTTATAGGTTATATAAGGTTTTCAAAGGGTTGTTTGGTGTTCTCAGTATTTTACCCCACATTTTCTCTCTACTTCAAAGCCCTGTCCACTTTGAGCAACCAATATTGTTGGTAATTGGGGAGGGGGGGGGGGTCATATCTCCATAATGGCTAATTTTTTCTCCCTATATAAACAGAAGTATGAAGTTTTGTGGTCAACAAACTCTGAATCTTGACCGTTTTCCTGAACCACGTGTATGGAATGCTTTAATAAGTCAAGATATGAAGAGTTAATTTCCAGAACACGTGTTGTACCCTAAGCAACTCGTGTAAACTTTTGTCTGAGGTTTGCAATAAAGTGAAGATGGTAAAAAGTATATCCTGCCTGTAGTTTACCATAAAAGTAAACCAGATTATATTGTCAGGTGGCATGTAGTTGATATTCACTTTATATTTGTCATTACATAGGTGACTTTTTACCACAAGACAACATACTCTATGTGGGAAATGTTCCTACCTGTAGGATAAGATGAACTCTTCATATCACTACATTTTCTGGAACGTGGCAATATTGTAATTATTTCGAAAAAAGATGAGAAATACTCTTGTGTATAATCAGCTCATAATAATAATGCAGTAAATTGAAAGCATTCAGAATTGTGGTCAGGTGTTAAAACTGTTTTGAGTTCCTCTACTTAGATCTGCTCTCAACAACTGTAGTAGTAAACCCTTAGATTATATACTGTACATGTATTAAAATCATACTTTGTGTCACTGTATCCCCTCATTAATACATTGGTTCTGACAGCATATATGTTTGTGTTCTAAAAGGAGAAAATTTAGTCTTAGGGCCTTTGTTGAGTGTTCGTTTATATGTCCTTAATACCTTAATGCTCTCATCGCAGCGACTCACGTGCCTACTCTTCACCAATCAATTGACCATAAAGGCAAGCCTGGAGGGAGTAGTTTCCTGCCACCTGGGGAGGGGGGACAGGAGAAATACTTCCAGCCCACCGTAAGGTCACACTTGACTCTCCACTCGGGAGTGTTGCCGGTACAACAGCCACATCCGGGGGTGGGTATCAAGAGGCACACAGTCTTTGAGTGTATGTTGAGTAAAGTTACAGGAGGTTACCGAGTTGTGGTTAGTTCTTGTATGTCTTCCCTCTTGTAGTCGTTCATTACACACCATTGATATCACTCATTCTTTTAATTTCCTGTATATTTTTCTTCTTGATATTAGTATGTTTTTTATTTCTTTTTTTTTCTCTTTTTTTTTTATTCAATTCAGTAAGGTATCCACTACAGTATGGCATTTCAAATGTGATTAGGTGTTCTTGGCTGTACATGATGATATAAAGTTCTTTTTTATTTACCATTAAGTCAAAATATTATGTCCAAAGGGCATATTCAGGAAAACAGGTACAGGGCATCCTCGCTTAACGTCAGGGTTATGTTCCTGAAAATGCGACGTTAAGCGGATCAATAGATAAAATACGGGAGTTATGTTCCTGAGCCTCCCTTTGCCCCATGAAAAAAGTTTCATATACAGTACAGTAAATCATTGCAATTTCTATAGAGAATAGTATATATAACTACAGTACTAAGTTTGTATTGGTACTCACTAATGGGCGGAGGTGGTAGAGCGAGTGTGTGGTGGGTAGTGGAGCGAAGGAGGAGGATGGCGGGAGCGGAGGAGGAGGGTGGGAGCGGAGGAGGAGAGTGGTAGCGGAGGAGGGTGGGAGCGGAGGAGGAGAGTGGTAGCGGAGGAGGGTGGTGAGTCACTGAGACTGCGGCTGCCTCCTCCTCCTCTGACTGGGGTTCCTCCACCGCTGCTTGCTCGAATGGTTAGAGTACAGTTTTAGAGCAAAAGCACTTCAGCATGCAATAATGATGTGAAATAACAGAGACTGGCTTGGCGTTGCTTGACGCTGTGATGTTCCGGGAGTGAGGGCAGCGCTCCGAGCCGAGAGCGTAGCGGTGCCAGACAAGAGAGGGTGCTGCGCCGTAGAAAGTAATCCGTGACAACGCAAAGCATCGTAGTACCGAAACAACGTTAAGCAAGGACTTACTGTATAAGTACACTTTTAAAGTACAGTACATACAGGTTACACCTCCCTCCCCCGGTGTTGCCTTCATGTAGCCTTCTTTCATAGATTCATATTTTCAATTTGTTAGTTTTTTCCCTGATTTGTTACCCTTTACCAAATATAATACATACTGTATTGAGTACCCAGACAATGTAGCAATACCGGGTGTATTTCATTCACTCGGGCAGTTTTACCATACCAGTAAATACTCTTATCATTTGTGTTTCTCACAAAATACCCGTTGACTCATTCCTCTTACCTGTCATTCTGTGTTACTGTATATAGTTTAGTGCAAGAAACTACTGATTGTACAACTGTATGTGATGTCTTAGTGTAAATGGCGACTGCTCGTTCCTCTTCCTCCTATTTTATAATCAAACCAGTATGTAAACTTCTTCAGCAAATTGTTTTGGTATCGATACCTAAGTCTGGACACTAATTAAGATGGTAACTGGGAGAAATGTTTGAGGGTAGACGTTCATGTACTATTCTGATTTGAAAGACAAGGTACAGGTATTGTAGTTAAGACACTGACAGTAGGTTGAAGATACCCCTGTACTTTGATAGTACTGTACAGATATCCTCCACTTAACAAATGGGTTAGGTTCCTGGAAAACCATCCGTGAGGTGAATTTTCGTATATTGAATAACAGAGCAATGAGGAAAATGGGGATTTGTTCCCAACAACAAGAAAACCCCAATATTATACCTCAAAACATGATATTGCTTCACAAACAACAACAACAACAACAACAAAAAAACCCTACCTAACTTATGATAAATGGTACCCAAGTACCCTGTACTGTAATTTACTACTAACACATTAAAAACATTAATAAAATAATGTCTAGATGAAAATATGAAATTAACAAAATTAAAGAAAAGTTAAATGAAATTTTAACACAAACACTATTTGCATAAGATGCTGCCTGCATGGCTTCAATGCTTGCCATAGCAATGCATCCCAGTTGGGACGCTGCCTCTGCCAACCCACGCTCTGTTCCCCCACTCAGTGTGCTAACTCTTGCACACAAAGAAATGTTCAGTCCCTTATGCTCTTGACCTTATGATAGTTATACTTTTTTTGCACATTCTATGTGAAGGATTGTGTGTCACATAACTAAGTAAAATAAAGCGAAGAAAATTAAGTTTATCTACCCAAAATTATGAGCTGAATATTAAACATAACATAGCTTACAGCTCAGCCTGCTAGCAAGAGGGTTAGGGGGATACAATAACAGTGACAAGTCTAACTTGGCAACAATGTCATTAGTAATATTAAGTGTAACTTTTAGATAAGTGCACCACCATCCTCAGCTGTGAATTCAAACAAACTGACTGACTGACAGGAATGATTACCTTAGGGAGGGCAGTCAGGGCTCACCACAAGGGTTGGAGAATGGTGGAACAAAAGACTCGGGCTGGGGGAGTGAGTTTGTTTTGATGACTGGGCCAAAATATATTTCTGTCTCTCTCCAAGATGGCCGCTCCCGCTGACTCCCGGGGACGTGCAATTTGAGTTTTTTTAAATTGGGAAACTCAAATAAGCGAATTTTCGTATCTCGAACTCTCATAAAGTGAGGGACACCCGTAGTTTGACATTAATGGTAGGGTGAAGATACTATGATAATTTTATTCCAATATTAAATCACAGGTACGTTGTATCTTAACAGGGTGTTACTGTCACCTCAATTCAAGAGACTTACAGGATAGGTTCACCAGGTAGAGTTGTAGTGTTGATCACTTATCATGGTTAGTGCAGAGGCCAGTGAAGTGTCAAAGGTCAAGGAAGGTATAAGGGAGACATGTATTATGACTGAATTATTATACGGTGTCCATGAATTTGTCAAGTACAGTAAAGCCGTCATGTTCTTTCTGTAATACTTTTGTGATTATTCAGCTTTAAAATGAGTTGGATAATTTATGGACGCTACTGTATACATGGCTTATCTTCATCCCCCTCCCTCTAGTGTAGGATGGACAAAGAGGAACAGAAATCTCAAAGGAGTCAGTGGTAGGTGAGGGTGATGCAAGACGAGTATAGTTGGTGACAGGAAAGGGGTGAAACGAGCCGTTAACAATCCAACTGCATTTCCTTATAATCTTCAATTATTTTGGCAAACAAGTGAATTTTTGCTCTCCACAGTGATCACAACACCTTATTAATTCCTTATACATATTAAGTTGAATTGTCAGAGCATATAGTTCTATTTTTAGTTAATATTTCCCTCTGTGGTCAGTTATATTATTGGTCACATACACAAAAGTTTTATCTTGCTGGTCAGCCTAATGTCCACACTCCTCTCATTTACCTACAATTTTTAATTTATTTAACTCATTATGTCACGATTTATCACAACTATTTGGGCAGTTTGTTTATTCTTTGTTGTGACCTTCATTGCCTAGTGTCAGTGCAGGAGGAAATTGGAGTACAGTGGCCGGAGAAAACCTACCACGTCTGGTAGCCTAACACCGGCTAAACACCCTTCTCTCATCCGACCCAGGCCAGGGATTGAGCCCAAGACACGGTAGTGAGAGAAACGTACCGCCAACACCCCCCTCCCCTCCAATTTGATATATTTACTTAGGCAGCTAAATTACTGTATGTATTGTAAGTTACCATTGTTGTTGGCTGAAGGCTGTAAGTGTTGGTGTAGGTAATATCAAGTGTTTCAGTAAGACTGTTGGTTCTGTCTGTCTGCTCTGCTTAGAAGAAAAAGAAACTTTAAATACTGATGGATAGACATTGTTGATAAATGCAGAAAGATAGATATTGTTGATAGATAAGACAGATTTTGATGATAGATAAATAGATACAGTATTGGTGATAGATGGATTGATAAATACATTATAGATAGATAGATAGATATTGGTGATGAACAGACAAATAAGTAGACATATTGGTGAAATCCAACTGCTTTTGTGTATATCAAATATTATTGGTGTTTCACATTCACTCTGAAGCTTTTAATATATATTTATACTAAACAATGTGAAAACCTGTGTGTTTAAGAATAAAATTTTGAGTTTCATGCACGTTAATGTAAATATGAACCCGTTTGTCTAGGGTGGTAAGAGTGGAAGCATCACCTCTGGGTTTCCGGTTCGCAATGCGCCGCCCTCCTCCCAGCAGCCGCCCCCTGTTGTGAGCTCCGCAGCCCACGTGAGTAAGCCTGAAGCTCAGCCAAGGGTTAGTGTCTCTTCTTTCTGTTGTGAAGTTGTTCGACTGATACTAATGCACGAGACTGATATTCTTTTTCAGTACAGAATTTCTCCCGTGTACTGTACGCAGATATTCATGAGGATGTTACAGAACTTGTACAAGGTATTTAGTGTAAACCCAGATACAGTATTCAACTTGCTTGCCATTATTAGCTGCATGTACTTAAAAATTTATGAAAAGGCTGTATTACTGTATGTTCACTGATGATTCTGGTGATATAGGGAATTATATATGTTGTTTCTTCATGGAGTCAGTCCTTCAACAGCCCTACTCTAGTATATTATTTATGTAGAGTCCCTGTACTGTATATTTTACTTTACAGTTCTTCAAATTTTATATAGAGTATTTGATGTTCTTTTGGATGATCTTTGTTTTCTTCTCGAGTATATTTATGTTGTGTTCTCATTGTGAGGGAAGTGAGGCAGGACAGAGAAGCCTCCACTTGGGCCTTGTCTAAACCTGCCTCCCAAACCTGTACTGCTGTTGTTGTCCTATAGTGCCACAACTCATTACTGTTCTCTTCCATATTTCTGAATTTGTCTTCTTGTCTTCTCACCTCTCAAGCCCAGTTACCATACCTCTGTAGGGGTCGGCAGCCCTCATCAGTGGAAGTTACTGGGAGCTGTATGGACAGTGGCCATAAACAGTGGAAGTTAGCTGTAGATATGGCAGCCATCATCAGTGGAAGTTAGCTGTAGGGATGGTGGCCATCATTAGTGGAAGTTAGCTGTAGGAGCTGCAGCCATCATCAGTAAAAGTTAGCTGTAGGGATGGCAGCCATCATCAGTGTAATTTTCTGGTAACTATGGGGACAATGGCTATCATCAGTGAAAGTTTCTGGTATCTGTGGATGGTGGCCATCATCAGTGGAACATATTTCATTTGAATGGGATTCTTCTATACCTTTACTTCATATTAAAACACACTTACCTTATTGTGTTTTAAGGCAATACTGCTCCCTCTTGTCTGTTTCATTAGTTATCTGTCGGTAATTATCTCTAGGTTATAGAGGTACAGGGTGTCCTCAAATTATCTGACTTATTAACTTTAGAAATACAGTATTACACGTGATCATTTATGGACACCTTTTAGTGCTTCAGTAAAGAACCTAATCTATTTCTCTCTCAGTTTGTTACATGTGTTGTTTTTGTGTACAGTACTGTGTGGTGCTATAATGTTGATGATGGTATCTCTTGCCTGGTGACAGCATTGTGCTCATCAGTAATTGTAATTATTCCGAATTGATGTCATTACTACTGGCTTCTGATATCAGTCCTGTTTGTAGGAGTTGTCCTGTGAGTTGGCTTTATTTTGAGAGGATCTTTAACCATAAAGTAGGTGACTCTCCCTTGTGTCACCTCCCAATGCCAAGTCTGTGTGTGTGTGTGTGTGACTGTTCACCTTTTTTAAACCACCGTACTTGGGCCATTTCTCCAGATATAGAACATAGTTACTGTACTGTATATACCTGTTGCTCTTATGTGCTGTACCTTCACTATGATGTTATGGCTTGTGTTTTGTTCCCTATTCATATAAACTTCACAGTGAACCCTCTGTCAAACCAAGACATTATTTGTAGAGGGAAACCCATTTTCTCGGGATCATCATTGCTGTGTGGCATTTTCACATTATAGTATAGGTTAGGTTAGGTTAAGGTACATGGTTGGCAGTGATGTAGTGAAAACAAGACCATTTGTTGCAATTTTCACCTTTTTGCATCAACCGAACCTTAGTGAATCCCCCTTCCCCTCCCTCCTCCCCCGATAGTTAGATTTTTTTTTTTAAAGGGGGGGGGGGGTGGTAGAGGGTACCATTCTTCAGGTGATCCATAAAGTTTAAAGTTGCAAATGATCCTGTTCTCGGTCACAACTCCAACATCACTGATAGTCGTAGATCAGAAGTGTAAAGTATAGTACTACTGTATTGTCTTAGGGTGATGTACTCGGATAGCCATTTTGTTTATCGTTTTCAAGCTTCTGATATTTAAAAATTTTTCATTCAGTTTGTCATACTTTTATTTTGTTTTCACATATACCAGCCTTTCCTCTACTATGGTGCTGAGTGGTTGGTCAGGTGCTGGATGTCTTTTTAGCATACATTGGCTAGTGGGTCAACTAACTCACATGATAGGATGCCATTCCACCCAGGGTTCGTTTCAATATCAGCAATTAAACTTCATAGTGCACTCATTAACTGCCGAGTGTATAAAGAATAGCTTAAAGGTCATGTATAGGTCATGCATTGTGGAAAATTAATATTTTTCTCTTTCTCTCTTAAATGAGGAAGTCATAACAAATCAGGGCAAGCATGCCGTGGATTGACATGACACAAGGAGAGTAACTGCATTAATCCCTTAATTTATGGTCCTGACTGAACAAGACAGCACCTGTCAGCCACATACTTCAGTCCTTGATACCTGGATTAAATAAAATTCAAATAATTATATAAATACCATGTAACCATTGCAAGACCCAAGTGACTCCAGCAACCCTATGAGCTCTATGCAACCCCATTTGGGGTCACTGGGCCCTGTGTTTGGGAACCACCAATGTAGGCCATAGATGAGTGTTTCTGAATACATACCTGTACTGTACTGTTTATGCTCCATAAGCCAAATATGTACTCATAAACAAATTCAAACTAATGTATATTGTTTGCATGCACACAATGCAGTCAAACAGTTGAGAAAAGTATGCTCAAGGATATTAATACAATTCATTTAGAAATGAGGAAACTTTTCTAGTACATAATAGAGTAGAACTGGTTTCCCTTCTGCTACATTAACCTTACACACACACACACACACACACACACACTGTAGTACAGTGAGACCATAACTGAATGCACTTGCCTGTGATGGAACAAGCAGTAGTTAGAAAAGCATCCTGGCAAGAGGTGGGATAACAAACCGGATGCCGACTGCTAAGAATCGGTAACTGCACCTGTCTGGCTATCCTGCATCATAGCAGTAAAAGGCTTGTAGTAATGTTGAAAACAGCATACTAAGCAAGTATTATATACCCACTCATATCTTATATTCTTTCTTTTCAGTCTTACAATAACCAGCCAACAAGTTACTCTCGTTACAGCTACTGAACGTCCTCCGTGCCGGCCTAAGTTGAACATTTCTTTTGAGGCCGAGCATAGAGTTGTAAGTCGTGAGAATATTGAACCATTCTAATTCAGATAATTTTGGTGGTTATGAAAAGAGTTAACAACTGTTATTCATGTAAAACTTTCTTTGAGTAAAAGTATAAGAGATGCTGAAAGCCAGGAGCATCATGAGAACAGTTTGTAACATAGATCCCAATTTCTATGATGTCTCATTATTATTCTGTGGTGCTCACACAGATGAAGATGCTGAACGATGTGTGTGCACACAGCATACGTCTTTGTGATCACCATAAATGACTTTTAACCAAACTTAGGTATGTACAGTCTAAAACAACTATCTGGACATACTTTGTGGGAAACAATATGAGACCATGGACGATAAATTTTGGTATACGAGGGCTGTCACTAGTCAAGTTTCGGAGCATGTCGACCCCCACCTGCCCAGATAGTTGTTTTTAGCTACTGTACATATTATGTATATATAGTAACAAGATCTCAGATGAGTTCCATCATCAGTATTTGTGTCATTAGTGTTTAGTTACTCTAGAGTTATGGCCACTAGGACTTTGCTGCAGTGTGTTGAGGGATTTGATAATTTTCACTGATGAACATGTAAGTACCTGGATATTATATCAGTAGTTTTGTATTTGTGGGAATTTATTTGCCATTAATAGTTTTAACATGTAGTAGTGGGTGGAGAGGTAAGGTGAGATGGTAGGGAAAGCTTGTTATAATTGTACAGATTGTGCATGAGGTGGTTATTTGCATCAGAATAAAATTGTTTTTAGCAGATTTAAATATCTATAAACCTTTGATTTACTCAAGAGAACTAGAATTTGTCAGAAAAAAAAAAACAGGAAGTTATTGTCGAAGAAAACATTTTTTCATAGAAAATGGGACAGTGGGTCACTGCTGACTCCTGTCTCTGCCTGTGGATTATCATCATCTTTGACTGCTGGCTGTGGTTTTGGGGTAAAGAACTTGTCCAATGTGGTTTGTCATTGACAGGGCACTTTTTCAGCGTACAGCTCCTTATATCCCCTCATGGTATTCTCCAATTCTCTTGTAAACTTGAGGCTGCGTTCATGGGTCTCAAAGGTTTGCATCACGTGTTGCAGTTGACCAATACCTTTGGACAAAACCTTTGTTGTCATTTCACGGGATGTAGATACAACTTCTGTACAGGTGTCCTGTTCTTCAGCAGCAGCTTGCTCCTCTTCCATTAATATTAGATCCTCATTGGACAGATCCTCTGTGTGACTAACAGCTCAACTAAACAAATCTGATCTACTCTTCGAACCCTGCACCATTTGCCAGAGTCACAATTTCCTGCTGCACCTGATCCACAGTCTGTCCCAGGGGAAAACCTTGGAAATCGTGGACACATTCTGGCCAGATGTTCTTCCACACACCATTCATAGTTCTACATTTGACCTTATCAAATGACTCCTCAATGTTATTTACAACATTCATATGTTAAACTTCTATAAAAAATCTTGGACTGATTGCTGATCCTCACCATCAATTGCAGCTATAAGTTGTCTTAAAAGTCCAAGATAAATAGTATGCCTTATATTTGGCAATCACACCTTGATCCATAGGCTGTAGTAAGAAAGTCGTGTTCTTGGGCAGGTATTCAACCCTGGTACTAGGTCAAAAGTCATTAAGGGTGGCTGGGAGCATTATCAATTAGTAACAAGACTTCGTTGGTTGCTGTACCTTTCTACTACAGGAGAGAAATAGGTTGTAAACCAGTCTTGGAAGAGGCTGCCAGTCATCCATTCTTTTCTATTGGAGTGCCATATTATAGGAACATAGATTTGCCATATTCTTTGAAAGCCCTGGGATAATCTGAGTGGTACACAATCATGGGCATTAGTTTGAAATCTCCTGCTGCATTACCCCATGACAGGAGCATTACACGATCTTTGGAAGCCTGAAACCAAGGAGCTGTTTTCTCCTGTTGAAATAAATGTTCCCGCAGGTATACACTTCCAAAAGATGCCCGTTTTATCAACATTGTACACTTGCTGTGGTGTGCATCCATCAGCCTTAATTATAGCTTTTAGTTCAGGAGGATAATTTTTAGCAGCCTCAGTATCAGCACTGGTTACTTCACCTACCATTTTAATGTTGTGTAGGCCTGAACATTTTTGTTTTTTTTACACCCAAACTACCATTTGCTGGCATTAAAGAGTTTTTCATCAGAACTAGTGCATTGTTCCTGGTTTAAATTTGCAAACAGACTCTTAGCCTTCTCTTGGTCCTCAATCCATGCACCAAGTAAGCATTCCACATTTATTAAAAATACCACAACGAAAATATGCTTATCCCTCCGTATTCACGTGGGTTTCGTTCTTGGAAACTGCGGCGAACCGTGAAATTGCAAATATTGAATTTAATACCTTATGGACAAATTTGGGTATGGTACCCCAATTATCATTTTTGTCACGATACAATAATCTCTCCCTTAGCCGGAACTCTCCGATAGCCGGAATTGGTTTTTTCTCAAAATTGTTCCCAAAACCGGAATTTTCTGTAAAAATCCGGTTTTGGGAAAAATTTTTTGAGGGGCACATTTTCCTGAAAAATCAGATTTTAATTTTTTTTCCAATACCCGTTAAATTCCGGGGATGGGGGATTTTTTTCCTGATACGAGATGAAAATCTGGCACATTTTCTGGAACTTTCGAGAACATTTTTCCTTTACCCGGAAAGTTCCGGGGAAGAAACATTTTCTGGCTTCGAGTCTTCTCGTTTCCCAGAAATATCTCATTCCCAGAAAAGTTCTGCATCGATTTTTCTGGCTAACGGGAATATCACTATTTTAGTTTAGAAGTGATAAATGTTTCGGAGATGGTCTTGATATTTTAACAAATAATTGTTCTCTTCAAATAATTCAAGTTTGATTATGTAAATACACGTAAATCAATCGGGATATTACTCTAGTCTACCCAAGTAAAACGGTTTTATATAATACAGAGCAAAAATTACAACTGTACAGTACTCTAAACTGGCTTAGAAATAAAGTATATATAAAACTATAAAATAAGAAAACTGGAGTGCATGGGTGTGAATATGTGAACATACGTGTGGAGGCAGTAACTATTGCATACTCCCGTCACCCCATCTGGTCCTAGTACTTGCCAACAGTGCGTAACAAATCGCCCAATCGGCTAACGAGCCGATCAGTGGACATTTACATGGTTGATGTGCGAGGTTGTAATAAATGCATTTTTTGAACCTATGTTCCTCGTTTATTCTCTCAAGTCCGGTCAGTGGTAGCAGGGAACGGGTGCATAAAAAATAAATAAAAAGCATACCAACCTTGTGTATTCCGCCAGTGAAACAGACATTAGGAAAGTTAACCTGTATAAGGACTTAATTGGGAAGGGAAACATGGGATTCAAAATGCCTGTCTATTTGGAGTTAAACTAGGGAAACTTGAAAAGCTCTTTAAAAGGTGCAGGAAATTCGACAAACATAAGATTTAGTGAAACAATTATAACTGTTGGAGAATTTGGATCACGACCAGTGCTCTGTCATGTAGTAAACTTTCAATTCGGTTACTCGAGCTTCCAGGTTTTGAATGCAGCTACTGAACCAGACGTGTGCAGGTTTGACCAAGTGGCCAAGGATGCCTAGTGGAATAAGGATACCTGGCTCATTACCCTCCCTGCACATGTTAGGATGGCACGAGCTGGAGCTCTTAAACCAGTGACCAACACTGGAGTAGGTCAAGACACATTCAGGAGCCAGGGCATGCCCAGTACTTAACCGTTTAACAGACGTGACCGACCGAGTTGCTGACAAGCATATCACTGGCAATTAAGGTTTTATGTAATGGCAATGCCTTTAATTACTGCCAAGGCTGAGGACCACTTACGATTAGTACCAGTTAAAAAAAAAAAATTACACCAGCTAACAATGTACGTAGATAAGGGTGGTGGAAAGTTACGGGAGGATTAATGTTGGTTATAGTTTACAAATCTCTTAGCTACAGAGTAGGTGTATTGAGCTGGAGGTTGGGGGGATTATTTTAACCTTACCTGGTTTATTTTAGGATGGCTAGTATTGAGTAGTCAACCCACACGTTCCTTAAATAAAGTAACTGGTTTTGTTTAGGGGAGCGCAAGTGATCCAAAATTATTTAGAGGGAATTTCATAAATTCAAACGAGAGTCTACCTACGTATCCTTACCTCACGAGCCGCCTTTTTTCCTTACCTCACGAGCCGCCTTTTTTCCTTACCTCACGAGCCGCCTTTTTTCCTTACCTCACGAGCCGCCTTTTTTCCTTACCTCACGAGCCGCCTTTTTTCCTTACCTCACGAGCCGCCTTATATCAAGGGAAATTCACATTCAACCATAGCTTAGTGTGTGGTTTAAACCAAGAGTTTACTCAATAGATAAAGGGCAAGAAATAAAGTTTCTGTTTCAATTAAAATTTATTTTATAAACAAGCAGATCAATTATTCCTTAAATAAAAATCTCCACAAAATCATCCCAACTACACCAGGTTCGTCATTAGTTGACCACATTACCAAGGCAAGTTATCTTATTCTGGTTAAAGCTGAATTAGACCAAGTTCACCGGGAGCCAGACGATAACCATCTTCTTAAAACAAAATCAATAATCACCCGAAGCTGGAGCCCTGAAATAAAAGAATTAGAATTAAATACAGTAAATAAGAGCAAAAACAACATCAATCATACATAATAATAAAACCCAAATAACACTAAAATAGCCAAGTAAAATAAATCCAAAACAACACAAAAATAACAACAAAAAATTACTCACAAGAACTGAAGAGTTGTATATCCTTAAATCACCTTGAAAAAACTCAGCTGGGGTAGTGATCAGAACTGCCCTCTTGCCTCGGCCCCCAGAGTATTTAAGGACCGTGGCTGGGTGGGGGTTGGGGGGAGGCTCTGGATTTTGGCGGGAATCCCCTAACTAGGTTAATTACTGAATCACCGTGCAATTCTTTAAGCCCTTTCATTTTTATTTAATTTTTCTAAAAACCAAAAAAAAAACAACACTTGATTATCTCCTTTCTATTGCTAATTTTATAATTTTTCTATTTATCGTTTTTTTTAACTTTTCACTATAGAGATTAATGAATGGTTTTACCGGGAGTCAAACAAGTGTACCTACCATTAGCTGCTTTACAGAGTCGGGAGGTAGTTTGTGGATATATCAAAACTTCAAAAGTCAGATAACACTTGATTTTCCTTTGAAAGATTATGAGAATTGGAAGTTTCTCTAAACTTGTCATTTCTTTCACACAAATACACATCTGAATCTGTAGGTAATGTTCACTCATTAGCTCATGTAAATATTCAAAAGTGTTTAAGGTTCGTAATAAAATAAACGTATTCAACAAGTGTCCGCCTGGGTTCCTTTTATGCATTCCTAAATATAATATAGAATTAATTGGCCTCTTAGAAATGGGGCGGCTTTTATCCTTTGAAGCAAACTACAGATTATGAGACGCTTTATCTAAGATCATGACAAGTATCTGCTCCAGAAAAGGAACAAAAAATACTTCAATTTCACACAGAATCTAAATAAGTTTCACACTCTTTAAGTAAACCAGGCAGTATTTAAGTCCTCCAGGTCGTATATAAGTACCACCAACATACAGTATAAGCTTTACTAACGTACAGTATTGTTAGTGAATATAGTTAAAATACTTCATAGTTTGTAGCTCTGTATTAGATCCATAATTCGCTTTAATTATCCCAATATATGTAATTTTCTTTAGTTCCCCAAGAACGAAGTAACATTTTCCTTCTTGTTGAAATCGTGAATTCTTTACGTTTTTCAGTTATTTCACACCAAAAACTCCTTTTATGTTGACAGATTATCTTAAATACTAATATAGTTTTATTTAAATGGTAGTAAATGATTATTCAAATGGCGATTTTACATTTTCAACGTAAAAAAGTAATAAGGAATGTTGTGGAGGTAAGCGCCATCTATGAGTTAGCAGCGCAACTAAACCTTCATCACGGGGTACAGGGGAGAGTTTCTCATCTGGTGGTTCAGGGATCCATCACCAGAAGAGCCACTAGACAGAGAACCAAGATAGAGGACGGATCAAGTGTACAACGACCCGAGAGCCCTGAAAATATCCTCCTAAAGCATCGGTAAGATATATAACTTTAATAATTCAGAGTAGTTGTTGGTGTGTTATTACGGTAGGACAAAGTTTATTTAATGGTTAATTTAGTCCATTATGTAGGGTTGTCGAGTGGTGGTGGTGACAAACTGTATCAGTAAATTTTAACTTGTTTCCACTATGTGACATCAAAGTTGAAAGTATGTTTTACTGATGGTTTCTGATGTTATGAACGAATTTGACCTTCATTTCTGGTGCAAACCAATAATTTTTGAGGTAGGGCACGGATGTTTTGTTGAAGAATGTGTTGTTCCGATGATTTAGATAATGTTAAGAAACTTGTAGGTAAATATTTGTCCATTGGCTCTCCTCAGGTTTTGTACGAGAATAGGTTTTTTTCGACCTTTTCAATGTATTACCCAAATCTGATAAACTCTCTTGCAAAGTAGCGGTTTTTGCAAAATAAAAACATTTTAATTTTTAACAAACTGCGGTAAATTTTTACTTTAAGACACGAGTCCGTTGGGGTTGACCAATATGTTTTTCTATTGTATTTTGGTGTGTTTTAAAAATTACTAGTTTTTGCCGCCCCCCCAAAAAAATTAATGGGGGAGAGTCTGGGAAATCAAGGTTTTTGGGTGGGGGAGAAAACGAGTCATCTGACCTAACAAAACCCAACCTAATGCCTACCCGGGGACTCTGCCCCTGGACCCCCGGGAGACCTAACCTGACCCCTAACTGGGGGCAGACCCTGGGTAGGCCTAGCTTAAACTAACCTAAATGTTTCAGTAGTTTAAAATTTTGGGGCGTGCCGAGTGGATGATTTCAGTCAACATTGTGCATGCACGATGTGCAGATAACATCTCAAAGACTGAAAACTACTTAAAATCAATTATCCATTTCACCCAGATTAGCAAGATCGAATTGATTCAGTTGGTTACAACTTTGGGGGGCGCTATGTCTGAAAGTAAAATAATACCGAAACTGCTAATTGCAAAAAAAAAAAAAAAAATGGAGGTCAAATTTGAAAAAAATGCAAAAATAAATTTTCTCATTCTAAAGGAAGCAATCAACCTACCTAACCTAAGAGGAGGAGGTAAGGAGGAGACAACTAAGCGAGGAGTATAACCTCAGGTAAACATGGCGGGAACCTGCAAACAGCCAATGGACGAATATTAACCCAATTTTCATCTATGATGTTTCCCTCGCAAATGACTTAAATAAACCAGGGAGGTTAGGTAATTTTAAGCACCGGAAAAACACATTGCTCAAAAAAAAAATTCATTGTTGTTCACTTGTAAAAAATCCCCCCCTCCCACCCCCCTCACATCTCAGGAACTAGAGCTATAAGAATTAAGGTAAAAAGTGTTCAAAACACAAAAACCCATCGGAAAAATAGTTTTGGATTTCACCTAACCAACCTAAACTAACCTAACCTAACCTAACCTAACCTAACCTAACCTGACCTGGGTGTGTACCGGCTTGTACGAACATGGTACGTAATACAGTAAAATGTTAAATATCTCGCTTATATATAGTTTGCACCATAAATGCCATTGAAGATTGTAACTATAAAATTCCCGAGATTCGTTTAGTGGCAACAAGTGAAATAACAAATATTAGTTTTCCTATTGTATACTGTATTGTGTTTGGAGCAAATCTGACCTTCATTTCCTTTATAATTGAGCCGTTATGGATATACGGCCACTCAGTTACCGGGATGAGTTTGATTTTCTTTGTTTTTTCCACAGGTGTTCATATTATAAGGTATTTTAAAAGAGGCTCCATTTAGTAGAAGCTAATACAGTACAGTACTGTATAACTTGACCTATTATAACCAAGCAAAGAGACCTACCTAACCTTACCTAACTTCCTAGCCAGGGGGTGGACCTGCCATATTAAACAGAACATACTTATTTTGATATGTGGTTCCAATGAAAGTAATTTTGTCATGGTATAATTTGTAATTTTGTGGATACGAGAGTATGCTCGGACTCAACGGCTCAGTTATAAACAAACACGACGCGGCGAATAGGCAGATTTTTCGGAGGGGTATTTACGGCAAATAGGTAATTATTCGCATAAAGCACGGCGATACGTCATTTTAGTGTCGTGTGATCATTTTTCCCGTGCTTTCCCCCAATTTCCCTCATTCTTCATGCACCTGCCCACTACAAGTGATTTATGATCATAGCTAGAGAAAAAAGAATAATAAGTAAAGTACAGTCGGCCCTTAACATACGCGGGGTTAGGTAACAGAGATACCTGTGAATGTTAAAAATCCGTGTACTTTTGGTAGTGAAATAAAAATCTGTCAATATTGTCGAAGCTTTGTCCTGTGTTGGTCCCATCCACGAAATGCAAACACTATTGGATGCGTATGAAACCGGGTTTAACCGAATCAGTTTTTGCACGTCCACCACAAAAGGTTAGGTTAGGTTTTCAATTTTTATTTATTTTTTTTAACCCCATATGTTCAAAGGCTAACTCACTTTGGAATATTCATAGCTGTTGGTAGTGTAAATGGAAATGAAGGTCATATCTATTTATTAGAAAAAATACAAAATAAAAATAGGTAAAATTATCGTTTCGATGAAGCACTTATTTTCCGAAGGTCAGAATAATGTCAACCTAACTTAACCTAACCTAAATTCGCTGTATTAGCAAAATGATAATAATACCGAAAAACCTATTCGAGTAATTAATTTCTCCACGTATACGAAGTAATTTGACCCGGATTCCAGGCCAAATAACCATCGGCTATTTGACCGGGACCTGCGGGAATTGTATGCGATTTTAATGGGATTGTAGTCGGGATGGTTGTGGGCATAAACTAGTCATTACACTACAGTATTAATTAATTGTAGAATTTTCTCTGGCCAAAAGTATATACTGCAGTTTGATTTTAGATCCCGGTCAAATATCCAGTGGTTATTCTGGCAGATACTGATGTAATAACCCCTACCTATAATATAATACAGTAGTTTTACTGTGTTTTCCAGGATGCTTCAAGGACCAACAACACATATCTGTGTAACTAGTTCAGACTTAACTGTACAGACCGTCCGGGCTCGTATATGACACCGTTAACGTCAACCGGCGAAACACTGCTGACGTGTGGGAGGTAAGACTCACTTTCTGCTACTTGACATCATGTTGTTGTCATTAGGTGTACAAGCTGAGTGTAGTACATAAAAATGTGTGTCCATATTTATGTAAATGTTTGTGTGTCTAAAGTCATGTCCCATTGTGTCGGAGGTACGTGACATCTCAAAATATGGCCCAGATTCACGTTTTCCATCCCATACAAAATTTTGAATGTGACTTTATTTTGTGTTTTTTCTAAAGTACAGTATATAGTATATTAATAATATTTAGCTTCGTTTTCAAAGCATAATTTCATTGTTTATCAATTACTGTGCTACTTTTTATACTTTTATCTACTTGTATGTTATGTTTCACTTCAGTTAATTGAACTTTTATTTGCATAGTTGTGAAGAAGACTACTTAGTACAAGTTTGAATTTTTACACAGTAACAGTGGTACAGTACTTTATCGTACGTAATATTTTCAGGCACTTTCTCCGTCACTGCCTAAAATGGACCTGACCCTTTGGACCTGATGTGAATTAGAATGAAGTTGGCTGGACATAAAGTTAACTGTACCTGAAGTTAAGTGGACCTTAAGTGAACTGGACCTGAAGTTAAGTGGACCTAAAGTACTGTATGGTATTTTATTTAATATTGTTCTGGTACTTTGAATATTAGGAAGGTTTTACAGACATTCCCCAGTTTTTAAGAGTACTGTGCCTTAAAAATCTATTGTAAATCAAATAAATTTTCCTGTAGACTCACATTATAAAAGCCAAAATACTTTTCTACAATAAAAAAACCTTCCCTCAAATTATGTTCAGTCCCCCAAAAAAGTATTGATAGATTTTCTATTGGTAAAATTTGAAATGGTAGATGAAATACTTTGATATGAGCCCCAGTGCATCAGCATAAGTTGGTACACTGCTCACCATATCAGCAACAACTAGAGATTGGGGGAGGGAGTCGTCCTTGTATGGCATACTAGATACTTCAATATAACAAGAAATCCATTAAGCTATACTAATACTGTACAGTATATTTATTGTGCTGGTTAGAAGCAAGGCATATGTAAACAGGCCACTGACTGTCGATTACAATAACACCGAAATGTACATAGAATGGAAGAGTTTCGGAATATCATAACCGAGACATACCTCAAGGCGGACATTTCACCACTATGTCGTAGTAACAGAGTTTCATTCATACCGAGTTGCATAATATACTTACTCGTGTTGTTGACGATACGTCTGATTTATGAAGAGTGACTAAACAAATAGTACTCAATATTAGAGTGAACAGTTACAGCAATAGACAATACTTTACTATATATTGGTCTAAATGGGATCTACCAAATATTACTAATATGTAAATGGTATTGGTTTAACACCAAAAAATAAGATTTGAAAGGAGTGTGTCACCAGTTGTTTCATGGAGCCTAACCCATCGCGATACTGTGTGGGTTCGCTCGCTCCAGTCGGCCGAGCTATCTCCGCGTTACTTATACCCTCGTCGTGAAGGCCAATAATAGCACATCTCATCTTGTTATGTCTCCCTGATAATTCCTCGCTCCATTCGATGTAAGATCCTGTCGATGACTGGCACGGCGTCGGTGTCCATTTACAACACGTACTCTTAATTCGCGTAATATACGATCGGAAGCATCGGAGGATTCACGTCATTGGAAAACGTATCTATACTCATTCGTGTTCAAAGGTCGTGGATGTTAGCTACCAACATTTCAAAAACGGTTTGTGTAACATTGCTCGGAAAGCCCCGAATCACATCGACCCTTTGGCTACTGATATTTTTGGGGGCGACCGTACACAACGATTATAAAGCAATATGGGAGCTCCTCTACCGACAAACGAGTCACGTTCTAGAGGGTTGTTCGCGAGTCCAAGTTTAATCCTGTAGATAAAGGATGTACAGTACAGTAGAGCTATATATACCCAGCATATTGCATTATAGCTCACCAGCCTTTAACGGTACGTATTTTAATGTACGGGTTTATTCGTATCTCGGAGAGTCAGGCGTCTGACACACGGACGTCATTCGTCTCGGGTTGTCGACGTCAGTCCAGTACCCATAGTTAGAAATGTAGCTTTTATGTTTACAGTAATTAATTTGCTACAATTAATTGAAGAAATAAAAAAAAATCTTGTGAGCAGTAACGTATTATTAATTCTGAAGTTGGCCCAGGTAGAATTTTGCCTACTGGAGACTGCAACTTCACATATAGGTTGTAGGATGAATATCTAACTATTTTTCAGAAAAAAAGGTGCCTCTTATATGCCATAAAATAGGGTAATTGTGTGTTTTATACTAGTTGAGGATAATTGCTGATTAAGCTTTAAAAGGCAAAAACCAATTTTGTTAGGAATAACTTTTCAATTTTGGTGCCCTAACTAGATGGGAACTACTTCTTGTATGACAGAATTTGCTCTGGTTCATTTAAGAGTTTGTTCATCTTCTTAAAGGGAAATTGTACCTAAAGTAGGTCAGGTTAGGTTAGGTTTTGAATAATGTTATTGATTAAATGTATTTTTATGATCTGTTTATAGCCAGTCAAAAGTTAGCAAAAGAGTCACAGTACATGGAAGTTATCGCTGAATGGCAGTTATCTCTATACTGTACAAGGAATTATTTCAGAAAATTTATCTCGATTCGGCTTGTGAACGATTTTCCGAGTTTGAAATTCGGCATTTTCTGGAAAATATAGAGAAAATTCGCGAAACTCCTCAAATCACTCCGTCCCGTCCGGAATAAATTATTGGGGCATTCCGAAATTGCATCTGTTCCGAAGTCATCCCCACGTGCCAGGCGTGTGGGCAGCCTAGTTCGATCCGTTGGTTCATATTCTGCTGCCATTCTAGAAGGTTGTTCCTCACTAGCTGGTGTTTTTTCATACAATTTGTGTTGTGCAGTGCTGTATCAGAACAAAATCGGCAAGAATACAGTGTTCAGCGGTGTTAAAAATGTAAAAAGTTGTTACAGTAACGTATATACTGTACAGGTAGTTCTGCTATAACGATAATTGTGTTCTTGTAAAATATCGTGTTATAGAAAATCGTAATAGAAATAACAGGTATTGGCGGGGTTGTGGCGTGATAAATGGGTAGACCGTCACAAAGCCTCCGCGAGGCTCCGCTCTGAGTCGATTTCGGTTTCGGACCGGCAGCGACGGGGTTTACGTTGCAGAGAATTAGAAAGCGGCATATCGGTTCAACCACAGACCGATTAAAGGGACACTTAGGCGAGCTAAGATTCCGTGCCCACTGACTTAGTATGTGGTTCCTCTGCTGTACATTCGGATAACAAGACTACTTAGTTCCAGTCACGTCTTTGGCGTGGTGGATGTTCCTGCTAACTGTTTTAGGCAACTGAATGCTTGGTACAGCAGATTTGGGGACTCATTGTAGGGTAGACTTGTCATACAGTCCACAGTGTTTGCATTTGGATTATATAGTGGTCAGTAGTTAGCACTGTAGACTCGGATGTGGGATTTGGTTTAAGGCTACTTGCAGTTGTCTTTGAGGGTATAGTCTGAAAGACTATTTGAAATCTCTTGTTGGAATTGATCACTAGTTGTCCTGTTTTAGGGTGTGTTGGGCTTGACATAATGATGTTCCTCAATAGATTATTATTAGGTATTTGACGTTATTATTAGGTATTTGACGTCCGTTCATAAGGGCCACTAGGCCCTCTCCGCGCGTCGAGGGCATGCTTCGTAGCAGTAACCGTTAAAATACACAGGAAATACTTTTATATAGATAATGGTAGAGTAATTTCAAATATTCTGCTCAGATGTGGGAGGGAGGCTTGAACCTGTATGTAGTTTTTGTTAATTTTGTTTTAACTTGTACATATAGAAAGTGCCAAATAAATCAAAATAAATAATTATTGTTATATATATTGTTTTAAAATGATTTTCCAATGGAAAGTGTGTGTGTGGCAAATGTATACTGTACATAGAAAGTACACAGATATTTTAGTTAGTTCCCAAGGGATCATCTACATGCCTAACTGACTTTGTATAATTTTTAACAACAATTTGTTCCTTCCAGTTATGGGTCAGAGTCACCATATACAAGATAGAAACATCATTTTTGTGTGGACCAGTGACACGATAGACCCGGTTAGGACATCACTTGAACTATGGGAGGTATGTTTAGAATCTTTGATAACTCTGTATTGTAATATGTTTGTGAGGTTTTTGTCGATTGTCTGGTATATACGTAATGGTTCTTTGAAGATTAGGAATGTCTATGGGGTGTGCCTTAGTGTCTTTGTATGAAGTTTGTGAGGAAGTTGAAAGTTTTAAAGGGAGATTGGAGATTATTAAGCGGTAAATCGTTTCCGAGCAGTGGGACTCGTGTCGTTTACGTAGCCATTCGTCGATATTGATGAAATATTAAAGGAAGTGTCGATTGGTTAAAAGAGGAATAAGACAGGAATTGACGAGTAAACGAGTAGAACGTAAAGATAACGAGGAGAATTAAAGGCTACTCATAATAAGATTTTTGGTGGTGTTGCTTGTTGAAATGGAGGTGTGTGAGAACTGAAGAGGGATTGATATTACAAGTGTTATATTGAGAGTACTTCTCTTAACATGGAGATATAAAAGTGAAAGTGTGATATATCTGGTATACTGTACAAGGGTTGGATACAATATGAAAAGTAGTATTAAAATGGGAGTTAAAGAATGTAGTAGTTTGTAATGGAGGATAAAGTCTATATATTTATCTCATATTTTTCTGCATTGAAAGTAGGTGTTAGAGTATCTTGACTATAGGTCAATTTTGTGTTATAAAGGGTGAAGATTCTCCCTGTTGTGGGGCTGTTTATGATCATATTGTGTTGTGTGGGTCATTGGTGTAAACTAGCTACTGCCCTACAGACTCCGGATGCAACGGTCGGGGTTGCACGGCCATTCCCGCCAGTTTGTCGTGGACAAGGTGTTCGGGCATAACACATCTCTGCGGCGAGAACCGAGCTCGGGCATCTTGCAGTCGTTTGCCATAATTGTACATATTTGTCGGCGGTCATTGTGGAAATGCAGGCGAGCTGTTTTGGGGAAAAGAAAGGGCAGTTGTCAGTGATGTTTGCTCTCTGCACATTGTAACGTCGCGGTTCTTTGATTTGGACCATTAGGAATCTCGGTCAGAACGGCCGTCGACTGCATCGCCTTCGCCGTGCCGTCGTCCCCCTCGGTCGATTCGGGCACGACGGAATGAGGCAGATCGATGGTATTGAATTCTGACAGAGGGCTTTTATGGCGGGTAGCACCGACGTGAAGCATAGGTGTCGTGCCAGCAGCTGTCCCATTGATTACTGTATTACAAATGGCACTTTACACATAGCGCAGTCACGAAATAATACACTCGTTTTTGAGCGCAGCAAAAATGAGTTCGAGTTACCCATCGTGGAGTGGTGACGGCGGCGGGAGGCGCACATTGGAGCGCATCTTAATTTGTTGCAAAGCTATTGGGAGAATAGGTGTGTTAGGTGGGTTTTTATAGGATCTTGTGAATATCATTAAACATGGTAAGTGATATTTATTTGGCTTCAGTTGCTATAAGATGAACAACAACTGCCAAATGAACTCCAATTTAGTTGTCACTGTTTATAATTTTAATGATTTGGCTAGTTATTTTCAAAGTTATCACCGGGTAGTATTTGGCGGCGCAATTATCCGGGAGAATAAGCGGCTTCATTTGACTCGAAGAAACACTAAGCTCATCTTTGATATGATGTATGAGATTTATGTGTAGAGTGGTTATTTTGAGGCCTGCAGTCTCTTTTCAGTATTTTACCTGTTGTCAGTAAAGTGGCAATAACAGTTGCAGTTTGATACAGTTAATCCAGCATATTTAGTGTTTATTATATTTCCCAAGGTTTTATCAGTTCCCGTTGTTGACACAAGCAGCTCTGTTGTCACATTCGAGCATTCTCGACATAATGGCCCTCGGTCTCCCGGCTCTTGCACGTCATCGATGCACTTATTGTTTTTATGTCAGAAAATACAGTGCGTGCTTTAAACTAATCACTGGGTTCATGTTTTATATTAGTTTGGAAATAAGACGAAAAGTGTTTGTAAATGAAATATTTAGTATGTGTGCGAGATTATTGGCAGCAATAGTAAATGATTCATTTATCCTTATGTGCAGTACTGATATTTTAAGACTAATTGTAAGCCTGTACATACATTCTGCATACAAATAATCAGTTAAAAGTGAGGCTAAAATGGGGTTTGGCTGGTATTTGTTTTTAATTTGTTTATTCTATAGTTAAATGTTATATATACACCTTGGTAACAGTCATATTCAGTTTAAATATGATCAATT